CTTCTCATCTCCAAGAGGGACTCAGATCCGGTTCACAACATGCGTTCGTATACAAAAAATTACAAACCACACAATGCATCATAATTACACGTTAAAAACATAGTACAAAAACATCATCATCATCACAAATCTGGCCCTTGGACAGTCGGCAGCGATGGAAGCAAGTGGAGCCACACCTGAACACAAGGAAGAACATCCTGATCCTAAGAAGAGCTGTTCAGCAGTGGAACTCTCTGCCTCGGAGTCCCATGGAGGCTCCTCTTTTGCTTGCTTTCAAGCAGAGGCTGGATGGCCACCTGTCAGGGGTGCTTCTGCTTGGCAGAAAGAAGGATTGGACTGGATGGCCATCGGGGTCCCTTCCAACTCTAGGATTCTGTGAAACCAGGACAGTGTAAACATTAGGTTCTTGTGGGTTTTTTCGGGCTATAGAGCCATGTTCTAGAGGCATTTCTCCTGACGTTTCGCCTGCATCTATGGCAAGCATCCTCAGAGGTAGACTCAAAGATTCTTGCCATAGATGCAGGTGAAACGTCAGGAGAAATGCCTCTAGAACATGGCTCTATAGCCCGAAAAAACCCACAAGAACCTAGTGATTCCAGCCATGAAAGCCTTCGACAATACAGTGTAAACATTAGTTTCCAGCACAACTCACAATCTTTGAGGATGCCTGCCATAGATGTGGGCAAAACATCAGGAGCGAATGCTTCCGAAACATGGCCAGACAGGCCAGAAAACTCGCAGCAGCCCAGTGTAAACATTGCTGGGGAAATATGGGACTTTTTGGGGTGTGTGTGTATATATATATCTATATGAATTGCAAGGCCAGGATGTTGTGCCCAGAAAGGAGTGCAGGATCCATCCCTGCCTTGGCTGTCTTTCTCCGTCCTTCGCTCGCGTCTTGTTTTCTCCCAAAAGGAAGTTGGCGGCAACCTTGGAAGAGGCTCATTAAACAGTCGGAGGAATTAGCACCTGCGCCTCATTAACGGCGACATAATTAGCTCCTCGGAGAGATGAAGGAGGCCGGCTGCCGAGATGCAAACGAGCCCAGACGCCGCGTGCCGGAGGGCAAAGGCTTGGCGGTGCCAGGAGCCCAGAGAGGGCCATGGCTTGGCTGGGCTCTTAGCCGCAAAGCGGGTCTTGGCATGAACCGCTTCCCACCTGCCATGCCGTGCTGGGCATCCTAGCCTTTGTGCCAAAGAGGCCGGCCGTGGCTTGAGCCCTGCAGCGTGCGACAATGTGTGCAAACGTGGAAGCCAAGGCTCCTCTTTTTAAGGGAGTCTTGGGCACAACAAGAGGAGGCGCAACACTCCACATCACTTGAGACAGAGCTTTGCAATGGGCAAGCCTAGAGTGGTTGCCGCAGTGTCAAAGAGTCTTTTGACTTTGTTGGCACTCTCATGAAGACTTCAAACTTTAGAAAGCATTTTAAGTTCTTTTATTTCGTTCTCAATGAGACAGAGTATACCACAGAGCAATACAAGGAACGAAAGTAGGCACACAGACTCTATAGTAGGCATGGGCCAACTTTGGCCTTCCCTTCAGGTCTTCTGGACTTCAACTTCCACAATTCCCAATGGCCTCGGATCCTTTCCTGAAGTCTTGAGGCTGCTAGGAATTCCACCATTGAAGTCCAAAACACCTGGAGAGAGGGCCCAAGTTGGACCATGCCTTTGCCCTCTTGGAAGTGGACACGTCACCCAATCAAGTGATCATCTGCATACCCACGTGATGGGAGTTGAAGTCCAAAACACTTGGAAGGAGGGCCCAAGTGGGCCCATGCCTTGGTCCTTTTGGAACTGGACACTTCAGCCAATCAAGGGATCATCTACATGCCCACGTTGTGGGAGTTGGAGTCCGAAACACCTGGAGGGAGGGCCCAAGTTGGCCCATGCCTTGGACCTCTTGGAACTGGACATTTTATCCAATCAAGGGATCATCTGCATACCTATGTTGTGGGAGTTGGTCCAAAACATGTGGAGGAAGGGTTGAAGTTGGCCCATGCCTTTGTCCTCTTTAAACTGGACACTCCAGTCAATCAAGGGATCGTCTGCATACCCACGTGATGGGAGTTGAAGTCCAAAACTCTTGGAAGGAGGGCCCAAGTGGGCCTATGCCTTTGTCTTCTTGGAACTGGACACTTCAGTCAGTCATCATCAGCATGAGTATGTTGTGGGAGCTCAATGCTATGGGATCGTTGGGAGTTGTAGTTTGGCGAGGAACCAGCACTCCTTGCAAGGAGGGTTATGGGCCTCCTGGGATTCCACGACGGTCCACGATCCCCATGTCATTTGATGGGTTGCAAACATTGAGGTCTTCCCTTGGAGCAGGCATGGGCCAACTTGGGTCCTCTGGGTGTTGGACTTCAACTCCCACCATTCCTGGTCTCAGGCCCCTTCCTTTTCCCCCTCAGCCGCTTAAGCGGGGGGGGGGGGGGGGGGGGGGAAAAGGAAATGGCCTGAGACCAGGAATGGTAGGAGTGTGTCCCTTCCACATCGAACGTTCCCCTTCCTCTTCCTCCTCCCCAGTGTGGCCGAGGGCTTTGCACAGACCCCAGCCTCATTATGCCTGACATGAAACGTGTCTCGTTCCCGTTCTCTCCCCGAGACGGATATTAAGGTGTTACCTTCATGTGCAAATGGGCCCCTTTTTAGCATGCAAGGAAGCACCAGGTTTCTGCCGCAAAGGCATTCAAGGCCTTCTTCTTGTTCCTTCCTTTCGAAAAAAAAAGAGAGTGGCAGCGGAATGGGAAGGAAGGAAGGAAGGAAGGAAGGAAGGAAGGAAGGAAGGAAGGAAGGAAGGAAGGAAGGAAGGAAGGAAGGAAGGAAGGAAGGGGCCAAGGGACTCTTTGGGGACTGCATCTCCCAGGCTCCACTGACCAAGGATTCTGGGAGTTGGGGTCCCCCAAAAGGAAAGGCTGGATCTTAAAGGTTTCACTGGCTCACTGATGCAACTTGCCAAGGCTACCCAAAAAGGTCTCTGTTGTGGGGCTAGGGCTCACCCTCCGCTCTGCTGCGCTCCTACCTTGCTCAGAGGTGGCCCAGACAGTGACAGAATCAGAATCCTGGGGATGAATTGTGGAAGGCTTTCATGGCTGGAATCACTGGGTTGTTGTAGGTTTTTCAGGCGATATGGCCATGTTCTAGAAGCATTCTCTCCTGATGTTTCACCTGCATTTGTGGCAAGCATCCTCAGAGCTTGTGAGGTATTCACCTGACTCCTTATCTAATGTTGCAGTTTCTGGTCACAACCTCCGAGGATGCTTGCCATAGGAAATGCCAGGCTTTCATGGCTGGAATCACTGAGTTGTTGTACGTTTTTCGGGCGATATGGCCATGTTCTAGAAGCATTCTCTCCTGGCGTTTCGCCTGCATCTATGGCAAGCATCCTCAGAGCTTGTGAGGTATTCACCTGACTCCTTATCTAATGTTGCAGTTTCTGGTCACAATCTCTGAGGATGCTTGCCATAGGAAACATCAGGCTTTCATGGCTGGAATCACTGGGTTGTTGTAGGTTTTTCGGGCGATATGGCCATGTTCTAGAAGCATTCTCTCCTGGCATTTCACCTGTATCTATGGCAAGCATCCTCAGAGCTTGTGAGGTCACAACCTGAGGATGCCTGCCATAGATGCAGGTGAAACGTCAGGAGAGAATGCTTCTAGAACATGGCCCTATCGCCCGAAAAACCTACAACAACCCAATCCTAGGAATGTTTGCCACTTTGCAGCTACAATGCCCAAAAGTGCTGGAAACACAGGGCTTTTGTGTGGCCCCACAAAGAGGGGTGGTGCCTTAGCAGTTCCATAGCCTTGGGCCAACTGTATCCACCCCACAGTGTACATGCCCCACATACCCAAACTGTATACGAAACTATTAGGCACATTGTTGAAAGTGTTGAAGGTGCATATGAACCCTCAGAGGCCATCCAGTCCAGCCCCCTTCTGTCATTAGGCAGGAAAAGCGCCATCAAAGCACCCACAAGAGATGGCCATCCAGCGTCTGCTTAAAACACTCCAAAGGAAGGACTTCATTAAGCAGAAGAGAGTTCCACTGCTGAACAGCTCTTCTATGTCAGGAAGTTCTTCCTAGCATTCAGGTGGAATCTCCTTTCCTGTCATTTGAATGTTATGTTCAGGCTTGAGCCAACTTCAACTCCTACAATTACTAACAGCCTTAGGCCCAGGCCTTTGTCCTTTTGGAACTGGACACTTCAATCAAGGGATCACCTGCATAGCCACATTGTGGGCATTGGGAGTCCAAAACATCTGGAGGGCCAAAGTTTGCCAATGCCTGTGCTAAACCTTGGGAGCAGCTACATGTTTCGGGCAGACTTCAGTCAATCAAGGAGTCATCTGCACACCCACGTTGTGGGAGTTGCAGTGCAAAACACCTGGAAGGAGGGCCCGAGTTGGCTCAGGCCTGCACTAAACCTTGGGACGAGTACATGTTTAAGGCATCAAGTCTGCCCATGCCTTTGTCCTCTTGGAAGTGGGCACTTCGATCAAGGGATCATCTGCATACCCACATGCTGGAAGTTAGAGTCCAAAACCCCTGGAGGGAAGGCCCAAGTTGGCCCATGCCTTTGTCCTCTTGGAGCTGCACACTTCAGTCAATCAAGGGGTCATCTGCATACCCATGTTGTGGGAGCTGGAGTCCAAAACATCCGGAGGGAGGACTGGAGTTGGCCCATGCCTTTGTCCTCTTGGAGCTGGACATTTCAGTCAAGCAAGGGATCATCTGCATGTTATGGGAGTTGATGTCCAAAACATCTGGATGGAGGGCCTAAATTTGCCCATGCCTCTGTCCCCTTGGAACTGGACACTTCAATCAAGGGATCATCTGCATACCCATGTTGTGGGAGTTGGAGTCCCAAACACCCGAAGGCCCAAAGTTTTCCCATGCCCGGGCTCTATGCTGAAGGTGTGTTTGACATGTTTACATTGAGCTGACGGACTGGTGTTATTCAGACCTGCCAAGGTGAATCCCACAGAGAGAAGCCGGAGTAAAATAGCTAAATAAATCTTTTATTATTTTCTAATTGCAAATGTACATAAATTGCACAGCCACATAGTAATTTTTCTTAACACCAACAAACTTATCTGTACATTATTACATTGTCTTGTTTTGAAAAGTGTGGCTGGGGGCGATGGAGAGTCCCACCACGCAGCTTTGAATTATTATTAATAATAATATCGTATAACTGTGAGGATTTGAAACATACTTACAAAAGAATTCATTTTTTGCTTGTTTTTTTGTTTATAAGAGGGTATAAAACATGTATTTTGCTTTCTAAACGGCTGTAACGGGAACAAAGGTTGGCCAAAGCGAATATACAGAAAGAGAGAGAGAGGTATATATATATATATTAAATCTATGTATGTATGTATGTAAGACACAGTGCTGCAACTGAGGGGGGAACAGACCCAAACTTGGAGGCGTGGGTGGCCTCAAGACACCCACCGGGGACCAGACGGGAACATCACACAACTTGCTTTTCAGGGGGAAATCTCCGTCCTTTGGCTCAGAGAAGAAGGGTCTCGAGGTGGGCCTTTCTCGCCCCACTTTGGGCCTTGGAATTCGGACGGAGGCTGACCCAAAAATTCCTTTTCTGGAGCTCTTTGGAGGCATTTGGAAGGAGGAACGAGAGAGGGAGGAACTCTTGATGAGAACTAGAACAAGGTGACAGGCATCGGTTGGCTTCCCTTTCTGTCGGACAGTGCTTTCTACTTCGGACAGGCATTATCGGATTCGCTTGTTCTGTCTCGCCTGGAATGGGAAGAGCAGCAGCTTTAGCCCAAGTTGGACGGGATTGGAGCTGGAGCAGCCCTTGGGTCGGGAACGAAACCATCCACGGCACCCAATCCCAGTTGGGAACCCAGAACATTTTACCTGGAACTCAATCATCCAAACCGAAACCCGGGGCAACTTCTGTACCCATTTCTGGGAATGAGAATATTTGTGGATATTGGGGGCCACCCAAATGGATGGAGGTCTTTGTGTATACCGGAAGGAGAGGATACGCACCACATCCGACACGTACGTCTTGGCAGGCCATGCTTCCATTAGTCAATGGCTCAGAGCAGCAGGTTTTGGCGCACGACGCCCAGAGTCCTTGCTTCCCCTTCACACACCCCAAAGACACCCGGGTCAGAGGGAAACAAGGGGGCAGCGCGGCGTCTGCATGGCTTTGGTTGTTATTCCTGGCGTTTTGGAAGGCCTCCCCGTCGGTCTCTCCAGTGAAAGTTGGCGTAGAAGGCCACTGCGGAAGCACCGAGGGCCGGTTCCTTGTGGCGCTTGGGTGGCTCTGAGACCCCGTTTCCTCCCGGCGCAACGAGGGAAACGGGCCAAGAACCGGCACGGGTTGCGAGTGGGAAATGGCACATTAAGCAATCATACATTCAAGAACAAGCAAAAGAAAGAAATGGCATGACTTCAGTTCATTGTGACCTGTGGGTCAGGTGGTGCGAATTCTATAGGAAAAGTCACAAAAATGGCCCACAAAACCCAGCTGCACAAAAGGATGCTTTCAGGGCAACATCGGCCTCCGTTGCAGAGAGGAACTGGCCCATTCTCACATGCCTGCGCATGTCTTTGCACACACAACCCAGCACAACACCACCTGCAGCGTGCACAGGACTCCCTCCAGAGCTTGGAGGGACGGAGGCCTGCAGGTGGGGCCCAGCCTCAGCAGCATGAAACCCTATTTGTGTGAATGGGACACACGGCCCACACGGGTGCCACTGGGTCCCCTTCCGTGCCCAGCCGTGCCCGTTCCACAGCAGCAGGTGGTGTGTCGTGGGCAGGGCTTGAGCCTCCCCCTCGGCTTTCCCCCCCCCCCCCCCCATGCCCTTTGTAGGGAGCAGCCTAGAATTGGATTCTTTTGCGGAGAATCCACCACCTTTGCAGCGTTCTGGCTGCCCTGCTTTGGTTCCGTGTATAAGTTCTTCCTTGGCATCGCGCACTTAGGAAAGTCCGCCCAGAGCGTGGCGGAGTGGTATTTGGGGGGAAAGAAAGCAAAGGAATGCACGCCCAGCCTCCACTTTCCTCTTTTTGAGGCTCCCACATTGGCTCCCTTTGCACCAAAACATTGCCTGACGTACCCAGAACGTTTGGTCCTAGGAGCAATTGGGGGGCACACAACATGGGGCTCAGTTTTGTGATTTAGGCTCAGAACCACATGTCCATGGTGGGGGGGGGGGAGAGCATTTGTTCTTGCACCGGCCCCTGCTTGGGAGAGGGAGGGTGGGAAGGAAGGAGGGCGGGCAGGCAGGCACCAAACGCAGTTCCCTACACACGCATCGGAAAGCTTTCCGGAGCCAGGCAGAATCAATCCAAGGGTGTCCCGGTTTCCTTCCCCGTAAGTAAGGCACCTTGCCCCCTTCCCTCGCCCTCAAGCCTTATTGTGTCTGGGGGAGGGGTTAGTAGCGCTGGCGGGCCCTTCCCTATTCGGGGCGGCAGGTGTCGGCTGTCCTTGCTGGTTAGTCCCTTTTGAGGCCTTCGGGGCAGTGACTTTCCCCCTGCCCTTGACCAGAGGAGAGGACTCCCGAAAGTGGACTGCATGTGGTTTTGGACTGTGTCTATTCCTAACGCATACTGTGAAAGAAAAGAGACAGGCGTTACCGATCTTGGCGCTTCTTCCAGGCAGCCCGGCGGTCTCTTCTTGTCCCCTTCCTCTCCTCCTCCTTCAGCGACATTTCCCCCCCAAACAGCCCCCCCGAGAACCAATGCCATGGGGTCAGGCGATGCCAGGATTGCATCACTCCCTCCCCAAACTATTTGGACACACAAGACCAGGTGTTTGTGGCAGACGAGGAGAGGAAAAAGGGGCGCACCACAAGCGAGGCTGGCTCTCCACCTCTGCCACAGCGCTTTCTGTGCTTGAAACCCATGTGCTCCTTGCACGGCCATCCCACCTACCCAGCGGCCTCCCTCCCACCCCTTGCCCTGGACTGCCCCCCACCCAATACTGCCGGGGAGCTAGCGAGGCCAGAAGCCCCTTTGCAAGCCAAGCTGGCCAGATGTGACCCTGTCTGAAGCTGCCTGCTTGGAGTTAGCCCTGGCTTTGGATACGTGTGCCTACTTTCTCATGCGGGCCCTTCCTCCAGGAAGAAAGTAAGCCTATGGCAAGCGGCGAGATGCGGCGGATGGCGCTTCCCCGGCCTGTCCCCAATGGCAGGTGGATATGGCTCAGCTTCTGACCCCAACATGGTGGGAATCCCAACTAGCGGGGATCTTCTGTGAGTGCGATCCCTGCCCCATCCCAGCACCCCGCTAAGGGCAGTCAGTGCTTTGGTGACTGGCAGGAGGATCTTGGGCCCAAAGGATGGTCCTTGGCACCTCATTCTTACAACCCTCGGAGTCGAATGCCCTCCTCCCCCCGAAAGAGAAGGCCAGAAGGGAGGCAGAATGGCGACCCAAGCCTGCCCCCCACTCCATTGTCTTTGCCCTCCTCTTAGGGAAACTGGGTGGGCCTGGGACCTACGGCGGTGAGAGAGGACGGGCTCCAAAGCGAGGGGCGCCACAATGAGCCAGCTCCTGGGAGACGGAGCGGAGTCTGGGCCAGAGGGCTCTGCGTCAGCGCCGGACCCGGGCACCAAGGAGGCGCCCGCCAGACGCCTTCCCTTTCCTTTTGTGCCGCTGTCCCTTCCGCCCGTCCCTCGGCCCCAAGCCTTTCCCCCCGAAGAGGGAGTCCCTTGAAGCCGCTGAAGCAAGAAGCGAGCCTCCGTCGCTCTGTCAGAAATCGTTCTGCGCGTGGGATCCACTTCCCGTTGTTGTCCTCCCGAGTTCAGACGGCAACATCCCCCTCCGTCCCTCTGCGTTTCCGGTCACACAAGACATCTTTGGTGATGAAGAGGATGGAGGGAGGGAGGGAGGCCCGTCTTCCGGCCACGTCTTGGGGGGCGGTGGGGCGGTCTGCTCCCTCTCTCTTTCCTCCCAGGTCTTTCCTTTCTCTCTCTTTCTCCTGCAATCCCTCGTTCGTTCTCCGACAGCGGGTGGTTAGCAGTTGCTGCTGTTCCGGAACTCGCCGTTCTCCGTGATCTGCAACTTAGTTGGGTTTGTGGGGGAGATCCCGTTACGGGTCTGGGTGCTGTACCTCTCTTTCAGCTGCGTCAAGGCGCTCATGAGCCGGGCATTGGCGGCGTCCAGGGTGGCAATGCGCTTCTCCTGCACATGGAAAAGAAGGAAGGAAGGAGAGGAGGTCAACGCTCAGGCTGCCCATGCTCCCGGCCCAGCATGGCCACCCCTCCATGCACAATGGCACTGGGAGCGGCTCTTGCACCTTTACGGGGCCAGGTTTCTGCAAGTCAGTCTGAATCATGCATTTTAAACATGTGTTTACGATGTTTTGATCTTTGTTCTGTGTATTCTAATACATGTATTTTGTGTATATTTAGATTGTGTGTTTTCGGCAATGTCATAGCCCGCCTCAAGCCACGAGGAAAGACAGATAAGCAATACAGTAACCACTACTTTCAAAGTCAGGACCGCACAACTGGACAGGAAACAAGACTTTCAAAACAGGAACAGGAAATTTTTCAAATGACACAGTGTTATGATTATGGAGCTGGAACAAGATTGAGATCTTGGGCAAAGAGATGGCCCTTTTGGAACCACAACTCTCCAAACTCCCAACTGGCACCACCAGTGGGACTGTGGGAGTTGTAGTCCAAAAAAAGCACAGCGCATACAAGCTCCGAGGCACGCTGTATCCTGGAATGTCCCTCCATTTAAGAATTTTCCATAGCAAAGAGCACTCGCAGGTGAACTGAGAAGGAACTGAAAAGGCTTTTGTGTCTGGGATGAGGAAGATCTACATTGCTCAGCTGCAACTCCAATTCCCAGCAGCCCCTGGCCAGCTCTAAGCTGGCCAGGGCTGATGGGAAATGTATTCCAGCAACATCCAGAGGGCCACGTAGTGTTGGATGGCTAAGAAGATGCTTCCCGATCTGTGTGGAGTTGGCCTCTGCCATCAGGAAGATGGGTTCAGGAGTCCTTGAAGCACCATGGGCAACACCAGTGGTGAAGAAAGGATTCCTGAGAAGGCCTGAAGGCCGAGAAGGGGGCTTGCGTGTGCACAGTGGGAGGCTCTCCAACAGAGGCTGGGTGGGCCTCTGCGAGGAGGGATCGAGCACCCCCTCACCTGGGCATCAATGATCTTCTGCTTGGAGTCCACGGCTGCTTGCATCTCCGCGTGGTCTTTCTTGAGCTCCTCCTCCACTGACATCAGCCTGAAGGAAATACGTTCAGGGTCAGTGTCCTGCTCTTCCAACTTGGGCCCTCCCTCCCTCCCTCCCTCCTGGTGTTTTGGACTCCAACTCCCAGAATTCCTCACAGCCTCAAGCCCCTTCCTTTCCCTCCTCAGCCACTTAGGCAGCCAGGAATGGTGGGAGTTGTGGTCCACAACACCTGGAGGCCTGCTCTTGAGCCTAGTGCTAGTGCTGAGTGCCTTCTTCCAAAGCAGGGCGAGGGCCTCCTTCCTTCCTACCTGCTGATGATGCCCTTCATCTGGATCTCCTTGTCCTCCTGCTGCCGCCGCAGCCTCTCCTCGCTCTCCTCCAGCCGCGCCTGGTACTCCAGCACCAGCTTCTGCGTGGCCTCCTCCTGGCACTTGTAGCGCGCCTCGTACTCCTCCAGCTTCTTGTTGCAGAGGCGCAGCTTGTCCTGCAGCACCGCCACGTCCTGCTGCTGCTGCTGCTAGAGGAGGAGGGGGCAAGGGAAGCATGCGTCGGCACCCACGGCCTCGCCACCCACCCACCGACCCCCCTCCCCAGGGATGAAGAGGAGCCGGGCGGCTTGCGCTTGGAAACAAGTCCCCATTTGGAAGGGCTGCTACGGTTGCGCGGGTGGACCTAAAGATTCCCAGAGAGGCACATAATGCAAAATACAATCGATTTTGGTGAGGGTCCTGCACCCCTAACCCCAGCAAATCTGGAGGGATGGCTGTATTGAAGTAACACTCAGGCACTGTTGATGAGTTGCAATGGTGTGTTCAATGGTTTCCAAGATTGTCCTTGCACAACGCCATGGACCCCTTTGCAGTAAATGCAACGGCAGGCGTTTCCTGGATGCAGACGTTACGGAAGCGCCCAATTCTCCTTCCTCTAAACCAGGCATGGGCAAGGGTTAGGCTAGAAGTACTTGCAGGATTGGGACTGGGCCCATAACCCATGTCAGGGATGTCTTCAATCCAAAGCACAAACCTCCGAGCAATATTAAAGTATTGTCTAGAGCAGGCATGGGCCAACTTGGCCCTCCCTCCAGGTGTTTTGGACTTCAACTCCCACAATTCCAGGAGGGAGGGCCCAAGTTGGCCCATGCCTGCTCTAGAATTCTGGCTGTAATGTTGTAACAAAATCACTGACCAACGAAATTCTGAGACGTTCCCCATCCAATGAATCGGAATCTGTTGGCAAATTAACACTGGCTCACGCTCCCATTCCCCGGCTCTGGTAGAATCTGTCTGAGACATTCCGGTTGTATTTTTAAACTCAAAGTGTGAGTGAGGGAGCTCTTCACAGGCCTGGCAGGGCCTTTTATTTACATCCCCAAGCCAGTTCCCAAGCCTGTCAACAAAGAGTGTGCCGTGATACAGAGACACCGTTCGGGGGGGGAAAGAGACAGAAAAGAGGGAGGCGCTTCTCTCTCTCAAAGGACCACCAGGCCCAGCGACTGTAGGAGACACAATACAACATAGACGTGACCCTGAAGTTTGTCGGCTGACCGTGAAACTATTGGCCAATCGTCTATATACGGGTAAACCACGATCCCACAGGTCCGGAGGTGAGCAATCACCACCGCCATACATTTAGTAAACACTCGGGGGCCGTGCTTAGGCCGAACGGGAGCACGTTATAACAGAATGCTCTGCCACCTACCATAAAGGTAAGAAACCTACGGTGGTGCGGCACTATTGATAAATGAAAATAGGCATCTCTTAGGTCTGTGGTAGCAAACCAGGCGTTTTCAGGCAAAAGAGGCATTAAAGATGAAAGAGTGGTATTTTATTTCACGACCCAGGGACATAGAAGCCCACCTTTGGTCCACACAGGCCTCTCTTCCACCAGTTATGTAGGTTAGTGCAGCAGGCCACTCACTTGGGCAGTGGTTAGGGACACAGAGAGACAGACCCTGGGAATGTCCCTTTTGTGGGATCTTGGGAACTGTAGTCCAAAGGAGGAAGCCTTCCAAGCTCTATGGAGGAGGATTCCTGCTGGATCGGGCTGGCTGCCTTTCAAGGGAGCCATAAGGGATAGTCGCCCATAAGTGGCCATCCTGTGACACAGGACTCCTGTCGAAGTCACTAATTAAATATCACTATATTCCTTAACACCTCTCTAGGAAAATTGGGGCCCTTCCACACAGCCATCTAACTCAGAATATCGAGAACGCAGACATTACGGAAGCGCCAAATTCTCCTTCCTCTTGACCAGGCATGGGTAAGGGTTAGGCTAGGAGTACTTGCAGGATTGGGACTGGGTCCATAACCCATGTCACAGATGTCTTCAACCCGAAGCACAAGCCTCCGAGCAATATTAAAATCCTATCTAGAGCAGACCTGGGCCAACTTGGGCCCTCTCTCCAGGTGTTTTGGCCACTCACTTTGGAGGTGGTGAGGGGCGCAGGACTCCTGTCCAAGTCGCCAATTAAAATCCACTATATTGCTTGACACCTCTCTAGGAAGCTCTTGGGGCCCTTCCACACAGCCATCTAACCCAGAATATTAAGGTAGATCATCCACAGCTGCGTTATCTGAGTCCACACTGCCATATAATCCAGTTCAACGTGGATTTGATAAGGCTGTGTGGAAGGGGACGGGGCTCTTCCAGCGCAAGACTCCTTGGTCCACTTCTGCAGGATGGAGGACCTCCAAAGGCGCTCTCGAGGAAAGTCCTGCTCCTCCCGCGGGACACAGTTCACCCCAAAGCAGCCCCACAGAGCAGCCCCCCCCGGGTGTTGGCGACCACCGTCTCCGACTTCGTGGTGGCGATGCTAAGAGAGCGGCCATGATGTGGAAGGTGGTTCTTTTTGTAACATGCCGATGGAGCTCCAATGAGAGAATGACAACGGCGCAACAAAAGGCCGGAATGACAGAGTGAAAGCCAGGCACGGCGGAGGGACTGGGGGCCATGCAAAAGCCCAGAGGGGCCCTCAACACCCACCCACGGGTCTGCCAGGGGAGAATGGGCCCTTAAAGGGTCCCAAAATGGGGCATTGGGGGGCAAAACAAAGAGATTGAAACCAGGTGTCCCTGTGGTGCCAGGCGTTTCTGGTCGCCCGCAATCTGTGTGTGTCACTGGAGGTCAGAAGTTTGAACCCAGAACCCCTGGGAATGGACCACCAAGCAGAACCCAAACATGGTGGAAGGAAATCAGGTGGCGCTCCCTCCTTGCAAGTGAGGAGTACGGGACTCGTTTCCTTTGCTCTCCTTCAAGTATTTGAGAGGGTCCCAAAACTTCAAACATCTCCCCAAATCAACTCGAGATCTACCTGCAAATCTGGCCGCTAAACTAGGAGAAGCCAAAGCTCGGAGCAGCTTGAATGGAGCTTCTTAGGCCCAGGGTTCTCTGAACCAGGCCTTTGGGGGTTTGGGACTTTCTCCCCCAGAATTCCTGATCGTTGGACAAACTGGAAAGAGGGGATTCTGGCAGATCTAGAAGGCGCAGGTTGTGCAGGCTGGTCTAAAGCCTGGGAATGTCCCTTTTGTGGGATCTTGGGAGTTGTAGTCCAAGCTCCATGGAGGAGGATGCCAACTGGACCGGGCTGGCTGCTTATCAAGGGAGCCATAAGGGAGAGCTGCCCATAAGTGGTCATCCTGTGAGTGCTCAAGTTTGCTAACAACACGTGGGGGTCTTGGACAGTGTGCAACAGCTGTACCCAGCTGGTGGAAGTGCGGGAGTGGGATCAGGCCGAAGTGCAAAGAGGAACATGCAAATGTGCAGCATGTCTATACATGGCTTTGCGCACTGGACAGTGCAATTATGTCATGCGCACTGTGCCGCACGAAGCGATAAGCCAGGCCTCTTTGACTTGTGGCCTTCCAGGTGTTTGGGCCTCTTGACTCCCAGAAGTCCCTATTGTCAATAATAATAATAATAATAATAATAATAATAATGAACTTTGTTTATATCCTGCCACCATCTCCCCAAAGGGGACTCAAAGCGGCTTACATGCTTGTGTTCAGTGGTCAGGAATTCTGGGAGCTGAAGTCCAAAACTGATGGGCCGCTGACGCCAGCAACTCAGGTTCCTGGGCAGTGCGTGTCTAGTTCGGATGCAATGCAAGGTGATTGTGGGGCACGTTCCAGCTCCAGTTGTGCAATGGTGCACCAGCCAGGGGGAGAGCAGAGGGTCTGTGAGGGATGACCAGCCCTTCCTTCCTTCCTTCTTTCCTTCCTTCCCTCCTTTCTCTCTCTGTCTTTCTCTCCTTCCCTCCTTCCTTCCCTCCCTCCTTCCTTGGCTGGCTTTCTCTGGAGGCCGGGCGTTACCTTTTCCCCTTGGCTGAACTCGTCTTTACTCCGGATCTTATCCCTGTGCTTGGGCTCTGGGTCACTGTTCTCCTCTTCTAAAAATTGCACGTTCATATTCAACAGCCAAGCGGCTGTGCGGTCCAGGGCATTGGGATGCACGGGTGAAGGGGCCTACAATGAGACACACAACCAGAGCCAGAGAGAGAGAGAAGAGAGAAGAGAAGAGAGAAGAGAGAGAAGGGGAGGGGGAAAAGCAGGACACAAAAGGGGGGGAGGAGCGGAAACCGAGATGGACATGAAGCGAGAGAGGAGAGAGACCGCCCGGCCCGGGCGCCCAATGCTGCCACCAACCACGCCCTGGATCCGGCAGCAGAGAGCACCGGGCACCGGAAGCAACCTCGTCAAGTCCGGAGACCTTGGCCGCGGCACAAAGGGAGAGCAGACCCTCCGCTGTTTGCCCACAGCCAGGGCAAGGGATGTATGCTGGGTCTGGCCCTCCAAAGTCTTCAGTAGAAAGTGCTTTATGGAAAGGTCATTCTGTGATTCACCCACCCACGTGTTTCTGGATGCAACTCCCACCATTCCTAACAGTCTGGACCCATAACCAAGGTCAGGTATTTCTTCAACCTGAAGAAGGGTTTCTTAGCTCAACCCTCCATGCAAAATTAAAGTATTGGTGGTAGAAAGCACGGGCAAACTTGGGCCCTCCCTCCAGATGTTTTGGATTTCAACTCCCACCATTCCTAACAGCCTCAGGCCCCTTCCCCTTCTTACTCAGCCGTTTAAGCCGAAAAGGAAAGGGCCTAAGACTCTTAGGAATGGTGGGAGTTGAAATCCAAAACATCTGGAGGGAGGGCCCAAGTTTTCCCAGGCCTGCACTAAACAAGAAATGCAATATAATACTAATAATAATCATTTATTTTTTTTGTCATGTCAGGAGCAACCACTCCTGTTGTGAGAGAATTGGCCGTCTGCAAGGACGTTGCCCAGGGGACGCCTGGATGATTTTTCATGTTTTATCATCCTTGTGGCTTCTCTTATGTCCCCGCATGAGGAGCTGGAGCTAATAGAGGGAGCTCATCCGCCTCTCCCCGGATTCGAACCTGCGACCTGTCGGTCTTCAGTCCTGCCGGCACAGGGGTTTAACCCACTGCACCACCGGGGGCTCCTATAATAATAATAATGATGATATAATAATTATATATTTTATATTACATGTAATATTACTATTTTTTTATCGTGTCAGGAGCGACTTGAGAAACTGCAAGTCGCTTCTGGTGTGAGAGAATTGGCCATCTGTAAGGACGTTGCCCAGGGGACATTGCCCGGATGATTTGATGTTTTTGCCATCCTTGTGGGAGGCTTCTCTCATGTCCCCGCATGAGGAGCTGGAGCTGATAGAGGGAGCTCATCCACCTTTCCCCGGATTCAAACCTTCAGTCCTGCTGGCACAGGGCTTTAACCCACTGTACCACCGGGAGCTCCATATTACTAATAATATTGCAATATAATGGTATAGTACATTATAGTGATATATAATACTGATATTGTTCTATGCTAATAATATATATTGTACGTATACATGTCTTTAATATAATATATTGTATATACATATAATACTTATATTATAATTTAATAAAGTATAACACTAATAATAATAATAGTATGATCTAATTATATATTTTATATTACATGCAATATTACTAATAATATTACAATATAATGGTATAGTACAATGTAGTGATATATAATACTGATATTGTTCTATGCTAATAATATAATATATTGTATGTACATATATATATCTTGTAAGCCGCTCTGAGTCACCTTTGGGGGGTGAGAAGGGTGGCATATTAATGTTGTAAATAAACAAACAAACCCTGGGACGACTACATATTTAGGGTGGCAGTGCCCGTTATCCGCATGTGGCACGGTCCAGGGGCAAGGTCTCTCCGGGCACATTCGGAGGACGAGGAGGAGGCTCTGTGCAGCATTTCCAACCCATGTCTATGCTGGCGAGGCCTAATTGGCTCTCAAACAACAATTAGCACGGTTGGAAATGAACACGCTGCTTCGTTATTTGATCATGTCGGCCGCTAATGGTTGGAACGGATGCAGAGGGACGTCAAAAGGGGCCGCGGCATCCCACTGGGTCTCCTGGCTGGGCCTCTGCTCTGATGGATCCAGAAGATTTCACTAAATTGCTAAGAGAGAGGCTGTGGATCAGGCATAGGGAAACTGGCCCTCCAGGTGTTTTGGACTTCAACTCCCACAATTCCTAACAGCCGGTAGGCTGTTAGGAATTGTGGGAGTTGAAGTCCAAAACACCTGGAGGGCCAGGGTTTGCCCATGCCTGCCTTGGATTGTTCCTGCGAAATTCGGACTAAAACCCAGAGGAGACCCACCACCCCAGATCCAGCCCTGACCTGCAATGCCTCATTTGCCCCCCCCCCCCCCAGAGCCTAACTGGACGTATGTAAATCAAGGAAGCAACCACTCTCTGTCTCTCTCTATCTGTCGCTGGGTAAACGTCCCACCACAGGCCCCGTGAGATGGTGCTGGATTTGGCGTGGCATGGGATGGGCAAGCGGCACATGGACGGGCAAAGCAGCAAGCCAGGTGGCAGCAGAGGAGGATGGGACTGCCAGGGGTTGCCGTGGAGCAGAGACCTGAGGTGGCAATGCCCTGGGATTGGTGGGGGACCCACTCGGTGGCTGAGAGGAAGCCCGGCCCCCAATTCGTCTGCCCCAAAGACGACCTCCGCCCCTCACACCCGCCCGCCCACTGACCTGCTTGTGCATGGTGCGCTGCTTCATCTCGGGACTGTCTCCCTTGGAGGAGGAGGACTGCTGACGGAGCCGGGCCCCGCCCCCTCCGCCCGCGAGGGGCCAATCGGGCGAGGAGGAGAGCACGCCCCCGCTGGAGGGGCGCGGGTACTGCATGGTGCTGAGCAGCGAGGGCGGGGTCCTGCCCCGCGAGATGGGAGGCGGCGGCGGAGGTGGCGGCGGCTGGTCTATCCGCCGCTGGGGCCCGCCGCTGTTCTGCCGCGGCATGGTGGGCTGGCCGGCCTTGTCCATGGTCAGCGAGAGCTGACGGCGGGCAAGCTCCCCCGCGCGCCGGTTGAAGTCCTCTGTGGCGGCAGCGGCAGCGGCCGTGTTCCCGAAGCCGTGCTTTGCGGCGGAGGCCGCCAAGTCCTCGCTGTTGCTGTGGGAGCTGAGGGAGCTGTGGCACTCGGAGCCCGAGTCGGGCGGGCCCCGGGGGGAGAGCGGCAGGCCGGCTGCCATCTGGTACACCGGGTTCTGGAAGGAGAGCGGGGCCAGGAGCTGGGGCCGGCCGGGGATGCTCTCGGCGCAGGGGGTGGTGGGGGTCTGCCCCGCCCGGCGCACGGTGGCCATGGCGGACACGCCACCGCCGGGCTGCACCTGCGTGCACCACAGGCTCACCGGGACCGGCTGGCTCTCGAGGAGAGCCTCGGCCAGGCTCGGGGCCCCGGTGGCCCCACTGTCCAAAATGCGATTGTCCTGCAAGTCCACCATGGAGAGGCTCTTGCCGCCATTGGCCATCGGGGCTTCGGGCTCATTGGCCTCCGAATAGCTGGAGCTCCGGGCCGGGGAGGGCTGGGGGCCCGCCGCAGACCTTGTGACAAAAAACAAGTCCTTGTTTTCAGGGGTTGGAGACGGTAACCGGGTGAAATCAATCAGACTGTGGGGGAAACAAAAAGGCATAAGGAGAAGAAGAAGAAGAGGAAGAAAGAAAGAAAGAAGGAAAGAAAAAAAGAGGAAGGGGGAGGGAGCCAGGGGGGGAGGGAGCCAGGGAGGGAGGGAGCCAGGGAGGGAGGGAGGGGTGCAGAGAGCGAGAGAGAGAGAGAGAGAGAGAGAGAGAGCGCACACGCTGCAAACGCCACGCGCCGGCGGGAGAGCAAGCAAGGCAAGCAAGCCAAACAAAAAGTGGTGTTCGGGCGCGGGCATGTGCCATGTTTAGCAATGCGCGGCCGGAGGGGGTGGCAGGAGCACCTTAAAACGTAAGTAAGGAGCAGGAAACCGGGGGCCTTTGCTTTCCCTCCCTCCTCCTCCACCTTGACGTTGCTTTTCCGCCCTCTCCGTTGCACACAGTTGCAACACAAGTATTAAAAAATATGTCTGCCAGACTCGTACGATTAGGATTTACCAGCAACTCCCATTTTCGGAAACCCATGTTTCCTTCCCTGTTCCCTTAAAGGACACATTTGACTTTTTGGGGGGTTTCAAGGAAGCACCCTCTCTTTGCAAAATGGGGGGGGGGTTCCAAGGACTTTGTGGTCAAACCTGCGGCTCTTCAGTCCAATAATATTATAATGCAATGCAATATAATACTAATAATATGATATTATAATTATATATTTATATTACATGTAATATTGCTAATAATATTACAATATAATGGTATAACACAATATAGTAATATTGAATGCTGTTATTGTACTATACTAATAATGTAATATATTGTATTGAGTGTATGTGTGTATATATATATGTAAGCCTGGCCGAGGTACCCCATATATATATATATATATATATATATATATATATGTGTGTGTGTGTGTGTGTGTGTGTGTGTGTGTGTGGGGGGGGGGGGGGGGGGGGGGGGGGGGGGGGTGGTGGTGAGAAGGGCAACATATAAATGTTGTAAATAAATAAATAAATAACTAAATAAATGCCAACTGGGCAAACTTAGGTCCTCCAGGACTGGGCTGTGGCGCGGCCAGTTAGTAGCCACCTTCATTAAATCACTATTGACCGAGAGGTCATGAGTTCGAAGTCAGCCCAGGTTGGAGTGAATTCCTGACCATTAATAGTCTAGCCTGCTGTTGACCTATGCAGCCCAACAAACAGTTGCACTTGTCAAGAAGGTAATTTAGGCGGGGAGGCTAAATTAACTAATTTACGACGCCATAAAACCTTCCAGCAGCGTGCAGAAGAATGAGGAAGTACTCCATCAAAGGACTTGGTGTCACAAGTAGAAGGTGAAGCAGCAGCTCCCCCTGTGGCCAGAACTGAGCATACCCTCATGAAGCCAGAAAGCTGGGATGTTAAATTGCCTCTGTGTCCATCTCTATATGTTGTATGTCTAAACGACACTGATTGTTTGCCATGTCTATGTGCATTGTAATCCCCTGCAGGGTGGGAAGGGCGGAATATAAATACTGCAAATAAATTTGGACTTCAACTCCCAGAATTCCTAACAGCCTCAGGCCCCTTCCCAAGGAAAGGGCCTGAGGCTGTTAGGAATTCTGGGAGTTAAAGTCCAAAACATCTGGAGTTCGAAGCCAGCCTGGGTCAGAGTGAGCTTCCAACCAATTTGTGTAGATTGCTGTTGACCTTCGCAGCCTGAAAGACAGTTGCATCTGTCAAGTAGGAAATTTAGGTACCGCTTATGCAGGGAGGCTAATTTACGAGGCCATAAAAATCTCCAGCAAGCTTGCAAAGAATGAGGAAGTACTTCGTCAGTGTCACAAATCTGGAGGGAGGATCCAAGTTGGCCCATCCCTGGGCCAGATCTTCTTCCAGCCGCAGCTCCGGGAGGGAAGTAGCATAATTCTTTGGCTGCTAATTGAGGGGTGGGGGGCACCCACTGATTTCCAATACAGAAGGCAATGGAGGGGGGGGGGGGCAGCTTTGCAGTAACTCCTGCTCTGAAGCCCGTGATCAAAGCCAAGTTGTGGCTTTCCTGGCCTGAATCACTGGGTTGTTGTGAGTTTTCTGGGCTGGCTGGCCATGTTCCAGAAGCATTCTCTCCTGATGTTTCACTTGCATCTATGGCAGGCATCCTCAGAGGTCGCACTGGGACTGTGGCGCAGCTGGCTGGGAGTCAGCTGCATTGAGATCACTACTGACCGAAAGGTCATGAGTTTGAAGCCAGACCGGGTTGGAGTGAGCTTCCGACCAATTTGTGTAGCTTGCTGTCAACCTTTGCAGCCCAAAAGATAGTTGCATCTGCTGCCAAGTTGTGTTGACAAGAGCTCTCCCGTTCCAAAGCAGCCTCCCCTTTCCCTCCCCTCTCTCTCTGTTCCCTAATTAAAAAATTACATAACACCCGGCTTCCCTTTGGAATTCCTCCTCCTCCTCCTTTTGATTCCTTTGCGATGTTTTCTTTGTGCTTCCAAAAGCACCCCCCCCCCGCCCCGCCCCCCCCCCCCCCCCCCCCCGCTGTTCTCTCGCTCTTACCCAGACAAGTCATTCTCGATCACCATCTTCTGCAGCCCGGCGGAGATGCCGCCGCCGCCGGGAGCGCCGGGTGTGGAGGCGCCATGGTCGGTGGGGACGGAGACTTGCAGGCAGGAGGCCGGGTTGCTCAGGGCGGCGCTGATGTCCCTCAGGATGCGCGGCAAGGGCCCCAGCTTGGCAGTGATGCTCTGCGGGGAAAGAGGGCCCCTCCTTATGTCACAGGCCCCTCCAAACGCCAGCCTTGCATCGCAAGGATTTGGGGCATTTGAAAATAATGCAAAGGGAGCCAATGGAAGGCATTTAAATGCTGGGTCGTTGTGAATTGGCTGAGCATGCATTCGAACCCCGGTCTCTCCAAGTTCTGGCCCAGCAGTGAAATATACTTGTCGAAGGCTTTCATGGTCAGAATCACTGGGTTGTTGTGAGTTTTCTGGGCTGGCTGGCCATGTTCCAGAAACATTCTCTCCTGGTGTTTCACCTGCATCTATGGCAGGCATCCTCAGAGGTTGCACCAGGACTGTGGCACGGCTGGCTGAGAGTCATCTGCATTAAGATCACTACTGACCAAAAGGTCATGAGTTCGAAGCCAGCCTAGGTTGAAGAAGAAGGAGGAGGAGGAGGAGGAAGAAGGAGGAAGAAGGAAGAAGGAAGGAAGAAGAAGGAGGAAGAAAGAAGGAAGGAGGAAGAAAGAAGAAGGAGGAGGAAGGAAGGAGGAGGAAGGAGGGAGGAAAAAGGAGGAAGGAGGAAGAAGGAGGAAGGAGGAAGAAGGAGGAGGAAGAAGGAAGAAGGAGGAAGGAGGAAGAAGGAGGAAGAAGGAGGAAGGAAGAAGAAGGAGGAAGAAGGAAGGAAGGAAAAGAAGGAGGAAGAAGGAAGAAAGAAGGAGGAAGGAAGAAGAAGGAAGAAGAAGGAAGGAAGAGGGAAGAAGGAGGAAGACAGAAGAAGAAAGAGCTTTATTTTTCTACCCCGCCTCCATCTCCCCGAAGGGACTCGGAGCGGCTCACATGGGGCCCAAGCAGAATACAATTAAAATAAAGCAATAACAATTAAAACAGCATAAAACAACATAAAAAAAATAGCTAGCGGAGTGTAGCTTGTCAAGTAGGAAATTTAGATACCGCTTATGCGGGGAGGCTAATTTAACTAATTTATGAGGCCATAAAAATCTCCAGCAAACATGCAAAAGAATGAGGAAGTACTTCATCAGTGTCACAAATGGACGGTGAAGAGACAGCTCCCCTGGTGGACAAAATACCCTCATGAAAAGCTGGAATGTTAAATAGCCTCTGAGTGTCTGTCTATATATATTGTGTGTCTATGGCATTGAATGTTTGCCATGTATATGTACATTGTAATCCGCCCTGAGTCCCCTGCGGGGTGAGGAGAAGGGTGGAATATAAATACTGTCAATAAATAAATAAATTGTGAGGTCTGTTGGGAACTAGGAAAATGGGATTTATTCACGCCCCAAACATGAATCAAGGAACATGGAAGGCACTGCAGACTCACTCAACCAGAGTGAGTGAACCAACCTGGACACAACGTATTATTATTGGAGACCACAGAAATGCTGGACCACACACACAACCACCATGCCATGTGATACAGAGAAGCCACTGACGTCCACAAGAAGCAGGGGGACAATTTCAACAGGAAGGAGGAAACCATGAAAAGCAACACCATCCTCCTCCCAGTATTAAAATACTTGAGAATCAAGACAGTAAACAGAGAGCAACACTCAGAAAACAGGGGGATTCCAGACAAGAAACAATCAAGGGAAGCTAATCACCTCCCAACAAAGGATTCCCCCAGGCAGGAAGAAGCCAGACCTTGAAACTGCTAGGCCATTCAGTGCTAATCAAGGGGGCCAATTGTAACATTCATGCCTGCCTCAAGCAGACAACTCTTTCTTTCTCCCACCCTGGACATTATTCCACAGATACATAACCCCCATTTTCCTAGTTTCCAACAGACTGCACAACCGCTGAGGATGCCTGTCACAGATGCAGGCAAAACGCCAGGAGAGAATGTTTCTGGAACATGGCCAGGCAGCCTGGGAAACGCACAGCAACCCAGTGATTCCGGCCATGAAAGCTTTCGACAATACGTTGCAAGTATATTTCACAAGGGAGATTTCACTGCTGGGCCAGAACTTGGGGAGACCAGCTTAGGACTTTGGGGGAACCCTGCTCTCTCCACAAGTGAGGAACACACCTTGCAAAGCAGATCTGCCTGCCAGGACTTCAAGGCGACACCGGATTCTTACCTGGAATGGCCCTGCCCACTATCCATAGCCACACCTCTGAGTTTGCTCTGTGCAAAGTATTTTACCACCACCCCTCAACCTGCGGCCTTCCAGGTGTTTAGTGGCCAGGAATTCTGGGATCTAAAGTCCCAAACACCTGGGGAGATGGGGATGGGGCACAGGTTGGAGCAGACTTTCAGGCCTTCACCGCTGTGACCTCTCCAGCATTCACCTTGGCTCTCTGATCCTGCCAGGGCGTGTGACGCTGTGGGGAGGCAGACCCCGCCCGGTGCCTATCCCAATGGAGAGATGGAGAATGCCCTCCCTGGGGCGAGGCCTACCTGGTCCAGGAACGTCACGACGTCCCAGAGGATGGCGTGTAAGGCGGAGAGCTCCCGGCCCAGATCGATGTAGCCTTCAAAGCCGGCCGTGTTGGACAGCGTCTCTGGGTTGGAGATCTCCAGGAGGAAGCGCTGCATGTTGGTCCACTCGTGCTCCAGGAACTGGTTCATGAAGGACATGTACTCTTCCTTGCTCCCAAACCTGGGGCGGGAAGCACAAGAGAGCCTTGGGGTCAGGTGCAACCCTTGGGGGGGGGGGGGGGTCCAAAAGGGAAGCTCAATGCTGAGTGCTGGAGGGCCTTCTCATGATGGATCACGCAAGGAAGGGCCAATGGCAAATGGCTGTGCAGAAGGACCCCTTTTGTGCAAGCCCACACCCAAGAGGTTCTGGGAGTGCGACACTGACGTGATCGGTCGAAATTTTGGCTGGCAGAATACTCTTGGAAGGAAGGGAGGGAGCAAGAAGGAGAAGAAGACAACTGCCTGGACTCGACCCAGGCTGAAATTGGCCTTTGCATTACATTGTATGCATTCTGCACAGCACGTCCTCCTGTTCTGACCAGTCTCTTAACCCGTGCACACTTGCGTATCTTCGATGGTCAACCTCGCCAGGAGCTCTCTGGGGATCGCAGTCCCAGACGCAGGAGGGATATCAAGGTCTTGTTGACCGGTAATATGACGGTGCGGCTTTAATGTACATTTAATCCATATAATGGATGGACTGGTGTATTTTAAATAGCATTGAAATGCTTTAATGTAAGCTGCTTTGAGTCTCCTTGCAAATAAACATAATAATAATAATAATAACAACAACAACAACAACATCCTGAGATCACAGATCACATCCTTAGCTGCTGCAAAAAGATTGCACAGACAGACTCCAAGCAGAGGCACAACACCGTTGCTCAGATGATTCATTGGGACTTGTGCCACAAACACTATCTGCCGGAGACAAAGAACTGGTGGGAGCACAAGCCAGAAAAAGTTACAGAGAATGAACACGTCACTTGGGAAGGGTCTGATGTGTGATCCAGTTCAACATCTAGCAGCGTGTCTGCTGCGGACTCATCTTGTGGTGTTTCAAATAATAATAATAATAATAAATAATTGTATCCATTTTGTACTCAACTTTAAACACATGTATTACACCATTCCTGCAGAGTGTGGTCAGAACAGGAGGACGTTGGAGGAGACCCCATCTAGTCCAACCCCCTTCCGCCATGCAGGAAAAGCACCATCGAAAGCATAGTTTGCCCATGCTTGCTATAGACAGGACTTTAATACTGCTTGGAGGTTTGAGCTGCTTCTGGTTGAAGAACTACCCGACACTGGTCATGGGCCCAGTCTCAATCCTGCAAGTCATACTAGCCTAACCTGTCCTGCCAGCACTGCTAATAGTTTGCCAAGTGAGTAATACTTGAGAATACGATGCTGATTGGGACCGTGGTTGGCGCAATGGGTTCAACCCTTGTGCTGCTGAACTGCTGACCAGAAGCCACAAGTCAGGGTGAGCTCCCGCTGTTATCCTAACTCCTGCCAACCTAGCAGTTCCAAAATACCCAAATTGGAGTAGATGAATAGGTACTGCTTTGTCAAGAAGATTATAAAAGGCACCCGTGCAGCCATGCTAGCAACGCGACCAGGAGGTGCCTACGCACAACAGGCTCCTTGGCTTGGAAATGGAACAAGAGCTCCTCCCCATGGCCGGAGCTGAGCACCGCCTCCAGAAGCCGGAGGTGAAAGGAGAAGCCTCTATCTCTGTCCTGTGTGTTTCTGTGTTATTGTTTTTCCACTGTATTAACAGCATGGAATGTTTCCCTATCTGAGTATGTTGCAGTCCCTTCCTAGGGGAGATAGAGCAGGATATAAACAAAGTGTTGTTGTTGTTGTTGTTGTTGTTATTATTATTATTATTATTATTATTATTATTATTATTATATTTTACTGACACAAAAACACAGTACGTCACAGCAAACGAGATCTATATGCTGGATTTCGTATCACAAAATCACAAGTCGAACACTTCCCGAGTATTTAGGACAAGCTGGAATGTGTCCAGAGGAGGGCGACTAAAATGATCAAGGGTCTGGAGAACAAGCCCTATGAGGAGCGGCTTAAGGAGCAGGGCATGTTTAGCCTGAAGAAGAGAAGGCTGAGAGGAGATATGATAGCCATGTATAAATATGTGAGAGGAAGCCACAGGGAGGAGGGAGCAAGCTTGTTTTCTGCTTCCCTGGAGACTAGGAAGCAATGGAACAATGGCTTCAAACTACAAGAGAGGAGATTCCATCTGAACATGAGGAAGAACTTCCTGACTGTGAGAGCCGTTCAGCAGTGGAACTCTCTGCCCCAGAGTGTGGTGGAGGCTCCTTCTTTGGAAGCTTTTAAACAGAGGCTGGATGGCCATCTGTCAGGGTGATTTGAATGCAATATTCCTGCTTCTTGGCAGAATGGGGTTGGACTGGATGATGGCCCAGGAGGTCTCTTCCAACTCTTGGATTCTATGATTCTATGACTGTATTATTATTATTATTATTATTATTATTATTATGATGATGATGATGACACAGAACCCACCCTCCTGCAGGAGGTGGTCCCGGCCCCTTCCCCTTCCCCTTCCCGCTGCTGCCGGGTGGCTTTGTGGGGCTCCTCCTCTCTTGGATCCATCAACTCCCAAATCCCAACAGTGCCACCCCCCTCTCGCGCCCTCCCCCGGCCCAAGGGGAGCCCAAGGTCACTGCTGCTGCCGCAAGCCTTCCTGAGCCAAAGGTGCGCTGCCAAAGGTAAAAGCGCTTTGTGAGCACGTCATGAGACCGGCCCGGGATTTGCAAGCGCATCCTGTCGCCTCGCAAGACATGGCTGTACGTCTCCCCTCGCTCAAGCGGACCGGGCTTAAGACGATTTGCTTGCAAACTGTCTCCCCGCATTTTGGAGATCACACGGCGGCTGTCGCTGCTGCGGTGGCTTCTATTTTTTATCATCCCCCCCCCCCCCCCAGGATAAGCAGCTCAGGCTTCTTGAGCAAAGCCAAGGGAGAAATTTCTCTGGATCTTTCCCCCTCCTTCCCTCTCCCTTTGTTTCCACCAAACCTCTGGGCTTAGTTTAGAAAACTGACAGCGCGGCTGTTTTTCCCTGAACTGATCCTCTTGGTTTCCGAGGCTTTAAAGAACTGAGAGGGACGTGTGTCGGGAGATGCAGCGCAGCCGCCTGGCCCACAAAGCGTTTTCTCTCCCGGTGGCATCACCAAGGGTGGCCTTCCCGCTTTGGCCACGCTCAAACCAGGCCATCCTTCCTGCCGTTTGCCCACCCACAATCCACGGCCAGCCCCAGAAAACCTCCCGCCACATTGGCAGTTTGAATCTGCAGGATGGGGTGAGCTGCCACTGTTAGCCCCAGCTTCTGCCAACCTAGCAGTTCGTAAACATGCAAGTGTGAGTAGATCAATAGGTATCACTTCTGCGGGAAGGTAACGGTGCTCCATGCAGTCATGCTGGCCACATGACCTGGGAGGACAACACCTTGCTCCTCGGCTTGGAAATGGAGATGAGTATCGCCTCCAGAGCCGGAAATGAAGGAAGAAGTCTTTGTCTTTGTCTGTGTATTTGTGTTTGCCACATGACCTGAAAGGCATCTACGGACAATGCCGTGCTCCTCGGCTTGGAAATGGAGATGAGCATCACCTCCAGAGCAGGAAATGAAAGGAGAAGCCTTTGCCTTTGTATTTGTGTTTCCCACATGACCTGGGAGGTGTCTATGGACAATGCCATGCTCCTTGGCTTGGAAATGGAGATGAGCATCACCTCCACAGCCAGAAATGAAAGGAGAAGTCTGTGTATTTGGTTTGCCACATGACCTGGGAGCGTCTATGGACAAAGCTGTGCTCCTAGGCTTGGAAATGGAGATGAGTGTCACCTCCAGAGCCGGAAATGAAAGGAGAAGCCTTTGTCTCTGTCTGTGTATTTGTGTTTGCCACATGAACTGGGAGGTGTCTACGGACAACGCTGTGCTCCTAGGCTTGGAAATGGAGACGAGCATTGCCTCCAGAGCCGGAGATGAAAGGAGAAGCCTTTGCCTTTGTCTGTGTATTTGTGTTTCATCGTTTGTTTCAAGGCCTTGACTGGTTGCCTGTGTCTGTATATGTGTTGGAATCTACTTGGAGTCCCCTCAGGGAGATAGGGCAGAATACAAATAAAGTGTTGTTGTTATTACATTGGCCTTTAAAAACCCAAACTCCCAGAATCCCCGAGGCAGGAGGAGGGGGGAGGGAAATCTGGGAGCTGCAGTTGACCAAAGTTGCTTTCCCAGATTCTATGCAGAAAGTGGTTTGGGCCTAAACTAGGCATGGGTCAACTTCAGCCCTCCCTCTAAGTGTTCTGGACTGCAACTCCCACAATTCCTAACAGCCTACCGGCTGTTAGGAATTGTGGGAGTTGCATTCCAAAACACCTGGAGGGCTGAAGTTTGCCCAAGCCCTCTATCTATAGGTTGTCCAAAACACCTGAAAGGAGGGCCAAAGTTGGACCATGCCTGTTGTTAGTCCTGGGTAAACAAAAGGAATTTACTTCTGTGTTGATTGACTGGATCTAGTTTGGCTGGGACTGAGCAACTAGGTTGTCAACCATTGGCCGCAATTCACCACCGCTGAGAGCAGCACTGCAGTCCATGTGCTGCCCAAGTCCAGGACTTGCCCCACAAAGGTGACCTGGCCCAACCTCCTTCTGCAAGGCAGGAAAAGCACAATCAAAGCACTCCTGGCAGATGGCCACCCAGCTCCAGAGAGGGAAACTCCAAGGGAGCCTATTCCACTGCCAAACACCTCTAACTATTAGGAAGTTCTTCTTAGTGTTTAGCTGGAATCTCTTTTCTGCAATGTGATCCCACAAGAGTGCTTTGATTGTGTTTTCCCGACATGGAAGAGGGGGTTGGACTGGATGGCCCAGGTGGTCTCTTCCAACTCTAAGAAGGGTCAAGGTTTACCCCTGACATTAAGTCTGGTTGTGTCCGACTCTGGTGCTCATCTCCATTTCTAAGCCGAAGAGCCGGCATTGTCCCTAGACACCTCCTAGGTCATGTGGCCACTGCCAGGACTGCATGGAGCGCTCTTACCTTCCCTGTTGATCTACTCACATTTGCATGTTTTCAAACTGCTAGGTAGGCGACCGCATTGGATCGCCGAATTAGGCTGAAAAATGCGGTATAGAAATAAAGCAAATAAATAAATAGGCAGAAGCTGGAGCTGACAGCAGGAGCTCACGCCTCTCCCAGGATTCAAACCTGTGACCTTTTGATCAGCAAGTTCAACAGCTCAGCGGTTTAACCCACTGTGCCAGCGGGAGCTCCTCTTCCAACTCTATTATTCTATTGTTGCTGTTCATTTGTTCAGTCGTTTCCGACTCTTTGTTGACCTCATGAACCAACCCATGCCAGAGCTCCCTGTCGGCCGTCACCACCCCCAGCTCCTTCAAGGTTAATCCAGTCACTTCAAGGATGCCATTATTATTATTATTCTATTATTCTTATTATTATTAAGCAGAGGCTGGATAGCCATCTGTCAGGGTTGCTTTAATTGTGCTTTTACTGCATGCCAAAAAGTTGCACTAAATGATCCATGGGGGTCTCTTCCAAGTCTATGTCAGTGTTGGAGCTTGCACACCCTTCTGCAAGTGGCATATGCCTGGCGGTGGCACAGCTAGTTAATAGCCAGTTGCATTAAATCACTACTGACCAAGAGGTTGAATCCAGCCTGGGTCAGAGTGAGCTCCTGGCCATTAATAGTCCAGCTTGCTGTTGACCTATGCCGCCCGAAAGACAGTTACATCTATACTGCACCCCAACCCCAAAGAGGGAGAGCAGGGGAAGGCTTACTTGGCGAAGTTGGCCAGGTTCTGGGTGACCTTGGCGATGAGGGTGAGTGTGCGGGCGGTGCGGTCGTCGGGATACTCCTGGAGCAGGTGGAAAAGGGAGGGGGACATGATGGCCGGGCAGAGTAAGCGCAGGAAGAGGGAGGCGCTGATGAGCCGCTCGCTGATGTCCGGCCGGCCCCGGCTGTTGCACTCCTGGCGCCACGAGGCAAAGACCTCCTTCAGCTCCCGGGGAAAGACGCTGCGAAAGAGAGAAGCAACCAACCACGAATTCTGTATTGACCGGATATTCATATTCATACAGTCAATAGAAGCAGAAAGTTCTGTGTGTATAAAGCAGGCACGGGCCAACTTCGTCCTTCCCTCCAGGTGTTTTGGACTACAACTCACACAATTCCAAACAGCCGGTAGGCTGTTTGGAATTGTGGGAGTTGAAGTCCAAAACACCTGGAGGGAAGGACAAAGTTGGCCCATGCCTGGTAAAAAGGGTGTATGAACCATAATGTCTTGTTTAGACTTGGGTCAACATCTCCCATTCTCCCTCACCTCCAGCGGGCGGGGATGATGGGAACTAGAGTCCAAGGCAGGGGGAGCGATGGAAGAGAAGACCCAAAGCGCCAGCCACTCACCAATAGGAATTGATGATCTTGCAGAAGGCTAGTTCACAGCACATCTTCAGGTTGCTCTGGTGCTCTGGGAGGTCCGAGGAGGAGCACTTGTTCGGGTCCACCTCGCAGTTTTCGTCCGACTCGTACAGCGCCTTGATGAACTCCCCTAAGGACAGGAGCAGGAATCGGGTTAGTGGCAGGGTCCACAATACGATGTGCAGTACATAGGTATTATTTATGTATAGTATTTATATTTCGCCCTTCTCAGCCCGCAGGGGACTCAGGGCAGATTACAATGCACATATACATGGCAAACATTCAATGCCAATGTTTAAACAATTAATAATTAAACATACAACATATATAGACAGACACAGAGGCAATTTAACATTCCAGCTTTTCGGCTTCATGAGGGTATGCTCGGTTCTGGCACCGAGTCCTTTGATGGAGCACTTTCTCATTCTTCTGCATGCCACTGGAAGGTTTTATGGCATCGTAAATGAGTTAAATTAGCCTCCCCGCATAAAGCGGTACCTAAATTTCCTACTTGACAGATGCAACTGTCTTTCAGCCTGCAAAGGTCGACAGCAAGCTAGAATAATGGATGGAAGCTCACTCTGACCCGGGCTGGCTTTGAACTCATGACCTCTCGGTCAGTAGTGATTTAATGCAGCTCAGCTAGCTGCGCCACAATAATAATAATAATAATAATAATAATAATAATAATAATAATAATAATAATAATCACAAGCCTGAAAAAGTTACAGAGAATGAACATGTTAAATTCCTCTGGGACTTCCAGATTCAGACAGACAGAGTTTTGGAGCACAACACCCCTGACCTCACAATCGTGTTGAAAAACCAAGTATGGATCGTCAATGTCACAATCCCAGGTGACAGCAGGATTGTAGAGAAACAACTGGAAAAGCTGACACAATATGAGGATTTAAAGATTGAACTGCAGTCAAGTAGGTCCCAGTGGTGATGGGCGCACTGGGTGCAGTGCCTCAAGACCTTGGCCTGCACTTAAACACAATAGGCGCTGACAAAATTACCATCTGCCAGTTGCAAAATGCCACCTTACTGGGATCTGCACACATTATTCGATAACATCACACAGTCCTAGACACTTGGGAAGTGTTCCACATGTGATCCCATAACCCCGCCGCAGCGAAGTGATATGTTTGCTCGTGGACCTTTGGTTTAATATATAACATAATAATCATAAATAATAATCATAATCAAAAGAACACAACAGTTTCTCTTGCGTGTCAGTGAGGGACTGGTGTGAGAGGATTGGCCGGCGCACGGAAGTCTGCCAAGGGACGTTTGGTATGGTTTGATGTTTTTCATCCTCTTGTGGTAGGCCTCTATCTCCCGCTCATGATGGACGCTGGCTTCACTTGAAGGGAGGCATCCGCACTCTCCTAGCCTCGAACCTGGACCGTCGGTTGTCTAGTTTTAGTCTGCTGCCAATGGGCTTTTAACCCCACTTGCCGCCCTGTGGGGTGCTCACCACTAATAATTAAAATACCAATATATAATAATAAGAATACATAATGTTCTTACACTTATTAGTACTTATAGACAACTATTGTTGTCGGCACAGTTACCTGTATCCGTGCATTAAATCCCTACTTACCGAGTAGTGATTTAATGCACAATAATTATTATTGTCCTGCATTATTGTCCTGCAATTATTATTATTGTCCTGCATTTTCTCTTAGCAGAGACTCAAAGCAGCAAACCATAATAAAATGTATAGTATGAAGGTATTATTATTATTATTATTATTATTATTATTATTGTTTATGTGATGCTTTTTCTCTTATTAGAGACTCAAGGCAGCAAACGACAGTACAAAATACAGTGAAGTATACACTATGAGATAGATAGATAGATAGATAGATAGATAGATAGATAGATAGATAGATAGATAGATACCAGGCCTGGGCCAACTTTGGCCCTCCCCCCTGGTGTTTTGGACTTCAACTCCCACAATTCCTAACACCAATGTTTGGGCTTTTTGGGATATTTGGCATAAAAAGCTTTCACTAGCCAAGGTGCAAAGAGTGCGACATTGTTGGGATGGAGTATGGATGAGCAAAATGACATAGTTTTGGGATCAGCACAGAACTCTGGGGAATGTAGTTTGGGAAGAGAGGCGCCCTATGCACATGTACAACAACAACAACAATAGCTTTTTTATTAATAAAGAAAATCTGTTCCTACTTTGAAAGTGTTCTTGCCTGTTTAACTGTAAGGTCTTTACTTTGACTGGTGCTTTCGGATGCTGATGCATTCTGGGAAATGTAGTTGAGGGCAGGGCCTTTTGAATTCTCTGGCATAGGGCGCCTCTCTTCCCAAACTACATTCCCCAGAGTTCTGTGCTGATCCCAAAATGCACTGCTCTCTCTTTTGCATGCTGCTAATGCCGAGGCTGCGTTAATTTCACAAGGCTCTAAGGCAGCCTTTGACTTTGCTTCTGTGCCTGGCATTGTATGGGAAACTAACTCTGGGAGGCTTCCGAAATAGACACAACTAGAACAAAATAGTATGGGGTCAGTTTCAATTCTAAAATATTGGGTGTGGCACACGAAAACGCTTCGCACTTACAAAACTTCCGACTTTCTTCCAATTTCCGAAACTTCCGATTTCTTTGCACATGCCTAATACGCGGCACCTACCTAAGGCGTCTTGCAAGTACTTCTGCCCCACCAGCTTCAGGTATTCCTCGATGGCCTTGGTGGCAAGCGTGTTCTCCCGGAAGAGAAGGTGCTCGTTGTCGCCGCAGCGGTCAACCTCTGACATCATGAGGTCGGTCAGGAAATCCTGGAAGGAAGAAAGGAAGGAAGTCAAGCAAGCCGTGAACGGTGTCTCCACATCAAGGAAAGAAATCTCAGAGAAGGCCAGTTCACCTCGCAATAGCCAGTCTGACCTCTAGTTTAGTGTTTACATCTTATTTTATTTTTCTAGTTATTTAATATTTAATGTTTATTTTACTTAAGTGATATTTGTCTTTACTGTTCTAACGTAGCACAAATCCTATGTAAAATCATACTACGTATGTTTGACATTAATATTGAAATCTGAAATATATACAGAAAGTCTTTACTTTCTTGTTTCTTTTCTTTCTTGCTTCTCTGGGCCCAAAGGGGGTGGGCTGTGGGGTTCCACCATTCCACAGAGATAGATACACCCCACTTGCATCACTAGCAACTGAGCCTCGGAAGATGCCATTAGCCACAGATGCAGGCGAAACATCAGGAGAGAATGCTGCTGCAACATGACCTTACAGCCCCAAAAATCTCACAGTAACCCATGCCCCTTTTCTTTCCCATTGATGCTACACATGGCCACTTCACCTAGCAACAACTTTGGTGACACAATGAGACAAACAAGGAAGCGATGACAAACGAAACCAAAACTGTCAGCTGGAGAATGATGAGTGGCCTGGATGGCAGCTCTCTCTGTCCATCACACCAACAAGCTGGATGAGCTCAGTGCTGATTGGTTCCTGGGCGTCCCCATCCAATGATGTCACCAATCCCCGCCCCTTCTCTCAACCCTATGGAGCAGCTATTTCTTCTGCTGAGATGCCATCTCCCTCCATTTGTCAATCAATCCACCCATCAGTCAATCACACAGCAATCAACGAACAGATAAATGCAAAAACATTATGATTTTAAAAGGCATTACCGCTAGTTAATGATGAGTAATGTCTTAAGAATTACACACACACACACACACCCCAAAAGGCAGGCAGAGCATTGGAGCAGCCTGGTAATGTCATCCACTCGGAGGGATGCGGTCTCTTCGGCTACAAAGGGGAGAGCGCTCCCTTTTAATGGGGCTCCATATTTAATACTATCCAATATGGCTGGAAGACAGAGGGCTTTCCTCCCCACTGAAAACACAGACAACCAATCACTGGGAATGTCCAAACTCCACCCAAAGGAACCAGCTAAGCTAGGCAGGCCCCAGTGAGGACCTGGATGGGAGACTGCCAACGAATCCCAGATGTCACGAGCTCTGTTTCAGAGGAAAGGACTAGGAAAACCACCCTGTGGCATTCCTTGCCTAAGAAAACCCCACACAATTCCAGGGATCGCTCTAAGACTTGAAGGTGTGCGTACGCAATGTATTGTTTGCTGCTTGATCTGTTTACTACTCTGCTTTTCTCTCCGTACAAGAACAGCATCCAAAATCAAACGGCATTCATTCTACAGCATAGGTGCAGCCCGAGTTTGGAGGAAATGACACTTTCCTTCTTCAGTTTTTCGGGTGCCCATAACAGCTTTTTTGGTTTCTTCGGGTGCCCATAACAGCTCCTTCAATTTGTTTGGGTGCCCATAACGGCTTCTCCGGTCTGTTCGGGTGCTCATAACGGCTTCTTCGGTTTGTTCGGCTGCCCATAACGGCTTCTTCGGTCTGTTCAGGTGCCCATAATGGTTTCTTCGGTTTGTTCAGGTGCCCCTAACGCAGTGGTTCTCAACCTAGGGTCCCCAGATATTTTTGGCCTACAACTCCCAGAAATCCCAGCCAGTTTACCAGCTGTTAGGGTTTCTGGGAGTTGAAGGCCAAAAACATCTGGGGACCCCAGGTTGAGAAGCACTGCCCTAATGGCTTCTTCGGTTTGTTCGGGTGCCCATAACAGCTTCTTCGGTTTGTTCGGGTGCCCATAACAGCTTCTTCGGTTTGTTTGGGTGCTCATAACGGCTTCTTCGGTTTGTTCGAGTGCACATAACGGCAAGGGCCCAGCCGTCAGATTCCCCTCTGTAACAGAACCACGTGGCAGCCAACCTCTGTTACTCCTTCCCTATTCAGCATCACAGTTTAATCGTTTTTATTTTCCTTGTTTATTATTTTTTAGTGAGACTGGCTGTGAGTTGGGGGCGTGTGGGACGGGTGGGTGAGGTGCACGCAGGCGTTTGGGGGCTTGGAATGAAGAATCCCCTTTTCAGCTGTTTTCTCTCCTTCCCTTCCTCTCCGTCAAATACTTCTACAAGACAGTAATTATCAATCTCAGGAAACTAAAAGAAAACCCTCATTCTCTGAAAATGACTACCACCTAGTTACCTCTCCTGTAGAGTAGAAAGTAGAAACAGCTTCAAGGAAGCATGAGACGTGAAGCAGAAAGGAGACTGAAGAAGAGCACCCACTCCAGGAAGGAGGGACAAAAAGAGGGGTTTTAAAAGGAAGCCCAGGGAGGATAGCTCCAGGTCATGGCTCTTCCTTTCCCTGGGCCTCCTTAAAATGCCTTGGAAAGCTGTGTGATGTGCTGCAGGGAGAGAAAGTGTGCACCTGCTTCCTCTAGAGTAGAAACAGCTTTAACGAAGCATTAAATTCGGTCTCCTCGATGGACAGGAAAGAAAGGATTGCAGAAAGAGGGGTATCTTAACTCCGATGTTTTTAATCAAAGTCTTAATGAAGGATATAAGGACAAACAATGCCTAAAATGGCAGAAAGGGGAGCCTGGGAAGCCCCCCCCCCCCCCCCGGACAGAGTGCTTCCTGTTGCTGACACCCGGGTTCCCATGAAGCAAAAAAGGAAAGGCTCCCAGGAATAAAAAGGGGAGCCTCGTAAGTTCCCCATTGCCACCAATGCGCCGGATGTAGCCACATTTTTCAGCTATGGACCTAAAACAGCTATCTGGCTACCTGGTCATTTTCGGGAAGCGTGTGAAAATGGATACAGGGGTCTACCCGTATCTGGCCAGCAAAAACGGATTGAGGTTCAGCCGAAATGCACAAGCCTGGAGAAAATAAGCTGGTCCAGAACACAGCAAGTTACTCTTATGAACGACACTTCCCAAGAGCTTCCAGTGACACCAGGGATGAAGGAATGGGATGCGATGGGTTTGGGGGGGGGGTCAAAAAAAGGGGACGTTTCCAACTTCCGGCCCAGGTGGGCTTCCTGGTCTGATCTCAGATGCTTGTTTGTGCCACTTGCAGCAAAAAGAAGCGGAGAGATGTCAGCGAAAGGAAGAGGGGAGCCCCACCCGAGCCCCTTGATTGACAGGGGAGAAGATCGACTTTGAAATAATCAGGTCCCGCCTGGTCAGCAATTGCCATTAACGGGATTGACCAGATCTTAAGGGGCTTCTGCTGATCAAACTAATTAGATTAAGGCCTCAACCACCCCGGAGGGAAACTTCCATCAGCCACAGCCCAAACACAGGGATATCTGCTGTGCAGGAACACAGGAGAGAATATAGCTACTGTCTATAGTAGGCCTGGACCAACTTTGGCCCTCCTTCCACGTGTTTTGGACTTCAACTCCCACCATTTCTAATAGGTGCTGACTGGCCACAAATGGCCACGAGAAGCCGGGAAATGTGGGCTCGAGAGAAGACTGTTGTGGCGGAGAGGAGGGAGGACGGGTGCGTTATCTCCGGAGCTGCCACTTGCCGTATCGCATCGCACCCTCTTCAAACAGCGTAATTAGCGCCGCGAGGAGGGGAGCGCCTGTTTGTGTGCGCGCCGCTTGTACAATTGATTAAAGTCATAATTAGCTGGACGAACGGCTCTTGTAAAAATATGATCAGATCGCTTTCTTCCTTTCTCTCTTTGGGAGGAGAAGAGGAGGGAGAGGGAACGCAGGGGCGCACGGCTCCACAACGCACCGCAACAGACGCGTTCAAGTCCCAAACTGGTTTTGAGTTGGCAAACTGGAGCTCAGCAACAGCTCAGCAAAAGGCCCGCAGTGGTTACAGGGTACGAACCAAGGGGGGCATGCCCCCCAAAATAAGAATTGTCCCCATGATGCTTTCCTCCGGTCCTCACTTTGCTAGCCTCACAGGACGTGAGACTTTGAAAGCCCTCCTTCTATTTGCTGGGTCTGCTTTGCCTTGGGACCCCTCTCTGGGTCTTTGGGTGACCCACTTTATGGTCGGCCCGTTTGCTGGGTTTAGCTCAGCCATGTCCAAATCTGGCTCAGAAAGTCAAGGCTTCAAGGTCAGACAGAGGAGCAGTTCGAAAGCATGCAAATGCGAGTAGGTAAATAGGTAATAATAATAATAATAATAATAATAATGATAATGATAATGATAATGATAATAATCTTTATTTATACCCCGCCACCATCTCCTGCTTCGGCGGGAAAAGTCAGAGAGATGCTCCAATCAATCTTGCCGGTCACACAACCAGGTGGTGACAACGCAGGTTCCTTGGCTTGAAAAATGGAGAAACAAACCCCTCCCCAGAGCCAGAGATGAGCACTGCATCCAGAAGCCGGAAATGAAAGGAGAAGCCTTTGCCTTTGCTTGTCTGTCTCACTGTATATAATTGGAAAGGCACAGAATGTTTACCTATGTATGTAAATACCCTCAGAGTCCCTGAGGGAAGAAGGGCAGGATATAAATAGCGTACTGCTGCTACTGTCCAAACAGATTCTCCCCTATGAACCATCAAGATTGTTAAGATCGTCTGGAGGGGCCCTGCTCCTCGCAAGCGTGCCTGGTGGGGATGAGGGACAGGGCCTTCTCGGTGGTTGCCCCTCGGCTCTGGATCTCCCTCCCACTGGAGATTAGAACTGCCCCTTCTCTCCTGACTTTTAGAAAACAGGTGAAAGCCTGGCTCTGGAAACTGGCATTTGACGAGCGAGTCAATAACTCGTGGCTATATGGATGGATGGTGATGAACAACGATTTTATTGTGACGACTTGGCCATTATAATTATATGATTGTATTTTTGGTATTTTAATGTGTTAGTGTATTATGGAATGTGATGTTTTTAAACGATTGCTTGTGATATTATTGTTGGAAACCGGCCAACAATAGTTCTAAATAAATAATAAATAAATACTACTACTACTACTACTACTACTACTACTACTACTACTATTATTATTATCATTATCATCATTATTATTATTTCAGGCATTTCTATCCCATCCTTCTCACCTCTGAAGAGGGGCTCAAGACGGCTTACAGCACAATGGCTTAAAATATTATTATTATTACTATTATTACGATGAATTAATGTTGTTGTTGTTGTTGTTGTTGCTCTGCAGCACCACCACAACTCCAGCTGTCCAGAGGGGGTTCTGCAGCTTCCACCTATCAGGTGGGTTAAACCCCTGTGCCGGCAGGACTGAAGACTGACAGGCCGCAGGTTCAAATCCGGAGAGAGGCAGATGAGCTCCCTCTACCAGCTCCAGCTCCTCAAGTGGGGACATGAGAGAAGCCTCCCACAAGGATGATAAAACATCAAAACATCTGGGCGTCCCCTGGGCAATGTCCTTGCAGACGGCCAATTCTCTCACACCAGAAGCGACTTGCAGTTTCTCAAGTCTCTCCTGACACGAGAAAAAAAAAACCTATCAGGTGACACTCGGGAGCCAATCAGGCTCTCCTTCCTAATACCGTAACATTTCTAGGGGCAGCCTTGTCCCACCCTCTGACAAGCGCAAGGTGTGCCATCTTGGCTGCCTTAGCCACCTGCTGAGTGCTCTGCCACCATCCCTAAACGGGCACACTTCGTTTGCCCCAGAGGGAGAAACACTCTCCGGAGAGGGGCAATGAGTAGAAGTGCAGATTGTGTGGCCCATCCATAATGGAACCACCATGGCTTTCTCCTCCTGCCCCACAATGACTTCCCTCTAATCAATGCGCTGGTGCATAACGTCTTTGATGGCTAAGACTAGGAAAAGTGGAGCAAGCGGACAACACAAAACACCAAGTCGAAGCACATCCCCTTCTGTGGGACCCCCAAGGCAATGGCAAGGGGCTCCAGCCATGTTCCTTACCAGAGGGGAAAGCAAAACCCATCACCATCACAACAACAATAGGCCATGCCTCTAGGCATACAACCGTATCAACCAACCCACAAAAATGAGGAAGGAAGAAGAAATAGTCAGAAAGCAATCTCTTCTTTGTTCACGTATGAAGTACAGATGAGCACACATCCATATAACCCAGAATATCCAGGCAGAGAATCCACAGTATCTGCTTTGAGATGAAATATCTGAGACCACACTGCCAGATAACCCAGTTCAATGTGGATAATATACAGCTGTGTAGACGGGGCCTTAAAGGGCACACCAGCGTGACATCTTTTGACGTAGCGGTTGGAATGGGAAGAATATTCAAAAATATTTTTGAAACGGTTGAAAAGCATGTTCCTCAAATGACAACATGAAGACAAGAAACCTGAACATGCCTCCATCTGAACGGACCAGAAGAAAAACAACTACCTGACAAAATCTACACCTGAGACTCAATCAGAGACTGAGACTCTTAACAGAGTAAGTTTTATGGGTGGTTGTTTAACCCCTTTGCCCGACCAAGACGCCAGTGGGGCCTGGCCAGTTTGCACGATGGATTAGGGGCATTTTTGGTTGGCCCAATAAAGGTGCTGCAGATCTGTGAGTTTTGAGCATGGTTGCATTTTCCTGTATTGCGAATGAGTTTTCTAACTAATGAGAACCACCACAGATTGGGACTGAACGCTGTGCAAAATTCACGAATACAATTTTCTGCGCAGAAAATGCATACCAAAAACCGTCCTGTGAATTTGTGCACAAATTTGTGTTGAAGAAGAAAATAGTTACAATTACTCATTGCTTCGTTCCAAAATGCAATTAGCAAAGAATGGGACACACGCAAACAGAACCAGGTTGCTGGCCCATTGAGTTTCTCAGACTGTCCAAAGTGGTGGATATCGGCCATTACTTTTTAATATCCGGGGCCAGGGATGGACTCTACTGTTGTGTGCACTGGCGACAGCCTTTTGCCCCCCCCCCCCCCCCCCCCCCGCCAATCCCTCTGGATCTGAAGGACGGAGCCGAGCCCAGAGGCAGAGGAGACCCTTCTTACCTTGGCCTTCCCAGTGCTCTGCAGGATGTGGATGAGGGCAATGGCCATCTCCTCCTTGTTCTTGACGCTCAGGTTGGGCTCCAGCACCGAGCAGAAGACCATATAGTTGTTGGTGACATACTCAGCAAACTCCTTGTACATCTCCATGGGCAGGATGTTCATGCTCTGGTAGCGGGACCTGATGCGGATCATGGGAGGGGGCCCGGACTTGCCCTTGCCCGGGTTGGGAGTCACCACATGGTACCACCTCTCCACAAACAGCCGCCCGGTGACGGAGGCGGCCGGGATGCTGACCATGCCCACAAAGTTGGTCTTGTCCTTCTTCTTCTTCTTGTCCGTCTCCTTGTAGAGGTGGACGGTGATGCTCCGGACGGAGGGCAGGTTATAGAAGTCAAAGTGCTCCCCCCAAAAGACATTGTCCGTTTTCAACTTGCAAGTGGTCCGAGCGTAGAGCACCTCGTCCAGGCAGAGCTCGCACAAGTACTTCTTCTTGGCCGGCAGGTCCTTGGCCTCGATGATCCACAGCGTGAGCATGTTCTCCACCCGCCGGCTGTTGTCCTGGGCACACAAAGCAAAGCAATGGTTTATTATTATTATTATCATTATTATTATTATTATTATTCATTTGCAGCATTTATATTCCGCCCCCCTTTCTCACGCCAAAAGGGGAATCAGGGCGGATCCGGATCGAAGAACACATACATGGCAAACATTCAATGATGTTAAACAGACAGGACAGATTACAGATAGAGGTATTATGTCGGCATTTTTCCCCAACACCGGCATCCTGGAGGTTGTACTCAATTACGGCCACATGAGGGTGCTGTTTCTCCATCCTCTTGATCAGATCCCACAACGTGGGTATGCAGATGACTCCTTGATTGACTGAAGTGTCCAGTTCCAAGAGGACAAAGCATGGGCCAACTTGGGCCCTCCCTCCAGATGTTTGGGACTTCCACAACATGGGTATGCAGATGATCTCGATTGACTAAAGTGTAAGTGTTCCAAGAGGACAAAGTTATGGGCCAATTTGGGCCCTCCCTCCAGGTGTTTTGGACTCCAACTCCCACCATTCCTAACAGCCTCAGGCCCTTTCCTTTCCCCCCTCAGCCACTTAAGGTCCAAAACACCTGGAGGGACAAAGTTTGCCCATGACTGCTGTAGACTGTACTTTAATATTGCTTGGAAGTTTGAGCTGACAAACTGTCAGGTTTTACAATGTATAGGTGAGTCATGCACTGCTAATGGGCTTCTATTGGAAATGCTGAGTCATACATTGATTGTATATGGGGAATCATTTGGGGAATGTGTTCTGGCCTACTCCAGGTGATTGTGAATGATGCAATTCTGGGTTTGAGTTGAGTCAATTAGTTGGTAACCAATCAGAGATTGCTATGTGTAAATGAATTGTATATAAGGAAGTCATGTACAGTGTATATTTCTCCTTGTGCTGTGATGTTGTTCGTCGAAGGCATATGTAATTAAAAGAACCTGTCTGCTAAGACAAGATATAACTGTATGCTGTGGTAAGTTTGTAATATCATCTAGACTGGGGAAAGACAATGGTAAAACTGACAATGGCCGGGCATGTGCTCAAGTGTCTGTAAAAGGTTCCAGAGTGACTGCAGGCTGTGGAAGCAGTTGACTGAAAATACTGTGCAGGAAGAAGCTACTGGAAAGCGCTGAAGTTGTGCAACTGATCTGCTGCTGAATTGTGAAGTTAATCTCAACAGGTTGTAGGAATACCTGACATTGGTTATGGGCCCAGTCTCAATCCTCTAAGCCAGGGGTCCTCCAATTTTTTAAACAGAGGGCCAGGTCACAGCCCCTCAAACTGTCGGAGGGCTGGATTATAATTTGAAAAAAGCATGAATGAATTCCTATGCACACTATACATATCTTATTACTATTGCAAAAAATACTTAAAAACAATACAATAATTAAAATGAAGAACAATTTTAACAAATATAAACTTATTAGTATTTCAATGGGACGTGTGGGTCTGCTTTTGGCTGATGAGATAGGATTGTTGTTGTTGCTGTGTGCTTTTAAGTCATTCAGACTTAGGTTGACCCTGAGCAAGGGCCGGGTAAATGACCTTGGAGGGCCGTCGTATCTGGCCCTCGGGCCTTAGTTTGGGGACCCTTGCTCTAAGAACTACTATGCTGGGTGAGATGGATCCCCAAGAATACTCTGAGCTTTTTCTTAAGGCTGCGGGAATTACAAAGTTCTTCCAAAGAGGGGAGAAAGAGGGCAACCCAGGCTTATCTGGGCAGAAGTGGTGACCCTTTGGAGCGCCTTCCTATCTATAGCCTCTGTGCAGATGAAGAAAGTGAGGACACTCTCAGTAGTAGAATGCCACCAGCATTTTCTCATTCAGGACGCAAGGGAGGGCATGTCGCCCTGAGCTCTTTCGCCCGGCTGCTGCAACTACCTTGTTTGGGTGGACGGCCCGCCGCAAGTTCTCCATCCATTTGTCGCGTTCGGCTGCAGATCGGCAGGAGAAGCATTTGCTGCCGGAGGACGTTGTCACCTGGAGGGAAGAGCAGAGAGAAAGAGTCCCTTGCAACCTGAAACTGGTGGACAACAAGGCAGAAGGCACGAAGCACCGACCGGAAAGCCCTCTCTGACAAGTCTTGCCAAGGAAACCCTGTTGGGAAATGACTCAAAGGCACACCAAAGCAATGTTAAGGCTCGTGCGCCAGCTGCAACCATACCTCGTGAAGTCGGATCTGGCCAGGGTGGTCCACGCCGTAATCACCTCCAGATTGGACTACTGTAATGCACTCTACGTGGGGCTTCCCTTGGAGACAGCTGTGAAATTTCAATTGGTCCAACGGGCGGTAGCCAGGCTACTTACTGGGTCGACTTACAGGGAGTGGTCTACCCCCCTGTTTAAGGAGCTCCATTGGCTGGCGTTCATTTTCTGGTCCCAATTCAAGGTGCAGGTTCTCACCTACAAAGCCCTGAACAGTTTGGGACCCGCCTACCTGCGTGACCACATTTCTGTGTACGAACTCATGCGATCTCTCCGATCATCTGGAGAGGCCCTGCTCACGCTCCCACCTCCTTTGCAGGCACAATTGGTGGGACGAGGGACAGGGCTTTCTCTATGGTGGCCCCCTGACTCTGGAACTCACTCCCCAAGGATAGTGGACATGCCCCCACATTGGCAGTCTTTAGGACAGTGGTTCTCAACCTTCCTAATGCCGCGACCCCTTAGTACAGGTTCTCACATTGTGGTGACCCCCAACCATAACGTTATTTCCGTTGCTACTTCTTTAATTCTGCTCCTGTTATGAATTGTAATATAAATATCTGATATGCAGGATGTATTTTCATTCACTGGACCAAATTTGGCACAAATACCCAATACGCCCAAATTTGAATACTTGTGGGGTTGGAGGGGATTGATTTTGTCATTTGGGAATGTTGGAGTTGCTGGGAATTATAGTTCACCTAAAATCAAAGAGCCTTTTGAACTCCACCAATGATGGAATTGAATCAAACTTGGCATACAGAATTCCCATGGCCAGGAGAAATACTGGACGAGTCTGGTGGACACTGACCTTGAGTTTTTGGATTTGTAGTTCACCTACATCCAGAGAACACTGTGGACTCAAACAGTGAAGGATCTGGATCAAACTTGGCACAGATAACCAGTATGCCCAAATGTGAACACTGGTAGAGTTTGGAGAAAATAGACCTTGCCATTTGGGAGTTGTAGTTGTTGGGATTCATAGTTCACCCATAATGAAATAGCATTCTGAACCCCACCAATGATAGAATTGGGCCAAACTTCCCACGCAGAACACCCATGACAAAGAGAAAATACTATGTTTTCTGATGGTCTTTGGTGACCCCTCTGACACCTCCTCGCAACCCCCACAGGGGTCCTGACCCCCAGGTTGAGAAACACAGCTTTAGTAGGAGCCTCAAAACGTGGCTGTTCCAGTGTGCCTTCCCTAAATAAAGGAAACAACTCCCTCCAAAATGTCCTCAGAAGCACTTTAACTACCCGTTGGGTTGCTCTTTACTTTTGATTTAAAACCCTCCGAATAGATACACCTTCTCTTCATGTCCAGCATTTATTTTTAAAGTTTTAACTATTACATCTGGCCCAGCCATAGGTTTTTAAATTCTTCTGTGTTGTTGTCTATGTCTGAGTTATACTAATTGTATTGTTTATTTTGCTTATTGCTTGTTGTTTTTCTTATTCTTTGTTGTTTTATCGATGTGTTGTTGGGCTTAGCCTCATGTAAACCGCTCCGAGTCCCTTGGGGAGATGGTGACGGGGTATAAATCAAGTTCTATTATTTTATTATACTATATTATGTTAAAAGAAGAGGAAAGGCAGCCACAGGACAAGAGGGAGGGTCCCGAGCCTTGTGCACAAGCCACAGGCTTTGCCTATTTTGCACCAGGAGTTCACAAGGCAACATGGAGATCCCATGATCCAGATGAGAGATTTCTCCCTCTCCGAATTCATGGATCGGTTTCACCCCATTCGTTGGAGAGCAGACACCCTTTCCCACTTCGTATAGCAATTAAAACTAACTATTTGTTCTGCCTGATGTAAATGCTTTCGCTTTATCTCTCACCCAAATGGCCCCACGTTGCGGGCTGCAAGACTCACATTGCCAATCTCTCCAATGGAAATGACAGCATTACAGCTTTAATGGATTAATATGCAAACCATTCATTACGGTTCTGAAGGACACTGCACCTTCAAATGACCCCAATATCAGGGGGAGGCATCGCTGTCCGGGTTTTAGTCCAAACTTCCAATGAGCTAAGCACCAAGTTTTGGGCCGCTCACCCGGTCTCCAACATGGTTGTGGTATTATCGGAAGGCAAAAAGCTCTCCTCAGGCTGGATTTCAACCCCTCCCCATTCTTCCCCCTAAAAAGATTCTAAGCACAATACAAATTATGCCGGAAAGGAGGCAGCATGAATAATTCATCGCTTATATCGGTTGCAGGAATGCAAGCCTTCCTTGGATTAATGCGACACAGAATTTTAATTATTTTACAGGAGAAAATACTCGCCCCCTGAAATGCCCCTCCTTGAAGCCAAGGGATGGAAAGGAAGGGAAAGGGGGGGGGGGGGAGAGCAATTCAGCACCCAGGTTTGGCAACCCAGAGAGAGATATTATGTAAATTGGGGCTTTTGCATCTGTCCACTTTGCATAATCCCCCAAAATGCAGATGCAAAGCAGAAGGATGGGATGCTATGTGATGGGAACAATGGTCCAGTCCAGCCATGGGCAAACCTTGGCCCTCCAAGCGTTTTGGACTTCAGCTCCCACAACGTGGGCATGCAAATGATCCCTTGATTGACTGGAGTGTCCAGTTCCAAGAGGACAGAGGCATGGGCCAACTTGGGCCCTCCCTCCAGGTGTTTTGGACTCCAACTCCCACAACGTGGGCATGCAGATGATCCCTTGATGGACTGAAGTGTTAAGTTCCAAGAGGACAAAGGCATGGGCCAACTTGGGCCTTGCCGCCAGGTGTTTTGGAATTCAGTTCCCACAACGTGTGTATGCAGATGATCCCTTCATTGACTGAAGTGTCCAGTTCCAAGAGGACAAAGGCATGGGCCAACTTGGACCCTACCTCCAGATGTTTTGGACTCCAACTCCCACCATTCCTAACAGCCTCGGGCCCCTTCCTTTTCTCCCTCAGTTGCTTAAGCATAAGTACAATACTTTCCCAAAGATCTTAGACATAGACGTGAACATGGAACAAGACCCAAGATCCACACGATAACGCAGTGTTGCCTGATCTGATTCTTAAGGAAACAATCCTTTAAATTACGGACCATAAAGCCACAGAGTCCAAAACACTCGCAAGGCCGAATTTTGCTCATGCCCACCCTACAGTATCAAAGCTTGAGCAGCTGAGGGGGAAAAGGAAGGAGCCTGAGGCTGTTAGGAATGGTGGGAGTTGAAGTCCAAACACCTGGAGGGCCGAAGTTTGCCAATGGTTGATCCAGCCACAAATGTGGACATGGAGATAACCCAATGTGCCAACTCTCTCTTGGCTGGTGCCATCTTGCCCACTGGGTAGCCCCACTGGTTGGCTGGATGCCCTCCAAAGGTAGCCAAGATCTCTTTGGGATGCTTCTCCCCAAGAGGAAGATGCTGAGCAGCTCCCCTGCCTTCTGTCACTTGGGTTCCTTCAAGCCTCATGGAAAGTTGTGAGGTCTAGCTGAGGAGGAACTAGGCCGGCCTCCATCCCTCCCTCCCTCAGCTGACCCTCAACTCTGTCCCTACACCAAAGGGCAACACTGTTGGGAAGGAAACACAACCTGGGGAGTCTCAGGAGTTGTGCATCTCTCTCTGCTCCTCCAGAGATGTCCTAAGGCCACTCACTTGTTGGCATTAGGGACACAGTTACTCTGGAGACATCCATGGAGAAGCATGTCATGCTAGGGCTGGAAGGGACTACAAGGGCCATTGGGTCCAATTCTTGCCTTAGGAAGGAATCCAGCCCTCTGCAGTAGAAGCTGGAGGTGAGGGACCCCCCCTCCGAACCCTCTTCCTTACCTCGAAGCAGAAGTCCTGCCCCAAGATGCTCCTGTGCACGGGCTTGATGACCACCTCCTCCTCCATGCTGAGGTCCAGGGCCTGCACCGTGCTATTGGGACTGAGCAGGGACTCGTGGGAGCGCGACTCCTTCAGCTTCGGCATCAGATGGGGTCTGCAGGGAGGGAGGGAGACAAAGCGGAGGGTCAGCCAGACTGTTTGGAGGGAAGGAGCGGTCCCAGGGCACTGGCCCCAATACACACCGGCCCACCCAATGCCTACAGAAGCTCCTTGGCTGGGAAACCATTTTCTCCGGAGTAACCGGACTTGTGGTACCTGACACCGGATCCCACCCAGAAGACGCAGTCTCCAAGATAATGCCCTCTACTAATAATATAATAACACCATCTTTCCCAGGGGACTCAGGGAAGATCCCAGCATTTACATACATATACAGACACAGGCAAACATTCAATGCCACAAAACAATGAAACACAGATAAAGGTAAAGGCTTCCCCTTCCTCTGTGGCTCTGCGGGTGGTGTTCAGAGCCAATTACAGTATATATACAGACACAGGCAAACATTCAATGCCTTGAGACAATGAGACAGAAATGCACAGGCAAAGGCAAAGGCTTCCCCTTTCATCTCCGGCTTTTGGCGGTGGTGCTCAACTCTGGCTCTTGGGGAGGTGCTCATCTACATTTCCAAGCCAAAGAGCCGGCCTTGTCTGTAGACACCTCCAAGTTCATATGGCCAGCATGACTCCATGGAGCGCTGCTTACCTTCCTGCCGGGGCTGAAGGGGAAAAGGAAGGAGCCTGAGGCAGTTAGGAATGGTGGGAGTTGAAGTCCAAACACCTGGAGGGCCAAAGTTTGCCCATGGCTGGTCCAGCCACAAATGTGGACATGGAGATAACCCAATGTGCCAACTTTCTCTCGGCTGGTGCCATCTTGCCCACTGGGTAGCCCCACTGGTCGGCTGGATGCCCTCCAAAGGTAGCCAAGCTCTCTTTGGGATGCTTCTCCCCAAGAGGAAGATGCTGAGCAGCTCCCCTGCCTTCTGTCACTTGGGTTCCTTCAAGCCCCGTGGGTTCCTTCAAGCCCCATACACCTATTGTTCTACTCACATTTGCATGTTTCAAACTGCTAGGTTGGCAGGAACTGGGGCTAACAGTGGGAGCTCACCCTGTCCCAAGGATTCAAACTACCAACCTTCCGGTCAGCAAGTTCAGCAGCTCAGCAGTTTGCGATTAGGCCTAGCCCCTTCCGTACAGTATTTCCTTTCCCCCATTCTGATGCCCACTTTGCCACACTTTGCTCTGCCAGGTGGAGGAACGATTCTTGAATTTATCAGGCAAATAATCCAAAGGTAAACATTGGCGGCGGTTGGTTGCATATTTACATTATTGATCTTGCATTCTTTTTTTTTTTGCTGGCTTGTTTGAAATTTCCATTCATTTCCCTGGAGTGGGTTGATATGATAATATATTATAATATCATCATTGGTCTCATTTGGAGAAGCTGCTGTTTACAGCAATTTAAGTTGCACTTTGGAGAACTTCTGTGGGATCAATATACAGAAAGAAACAATTGGGAGTCCTCCATAGTCCTGCTGATGGGGCCACGGTGGTGCAACGGGTTAAACTGCTGACCTGCTGACCTGAAGGTTGGCGGTTTGAATCCACAGGATGGGGTGAGCTCAAGGGTTGGGGGTGGGGGGTGGGTATTGCTTTTGTCATTTGGGAGTTGTAGTTTATTATTTATTTATTTATTTATTTTTACCCCGCTCTTCTCACCCCCGCAGGGGGACTCAGAGCGGCTAACAATGGCAACGGTTCAATGCCGCAATAATTACAATTATAATAACAAGATTAAAACATACAATACAATAAGCTAAAACAACATTAGTTAAACAATCATAAAGCCTTTTCCAATCATATGGTCTGATTCAATGTTCAGGGGCCGTTATATCCATTAGCCAAAAGCCTGGTTCTTTAGTTTTCTTCTGAAAGAAAGGAGGGAGGGTGCCGATCTGATTTCACTGAGGAGTGAATTCCACAGGCGGGGGGCCACCATCGAGAAGGCCCTGTCCCTCGTCCCCACCAGCCATGTTTGCGAAGCTGGCGGGACTGAGAGCAGGGCCTCCCTGGCAGATCTTAGACTACGAGGCGGAACGTAGAGGGAGATACGTTCAGACAAGTAAGCTGGGCCGGAGTCGTATAGGGCTTTATAGGCCAAGACCAGCACTTTGAATTGTGTTCGGAAATGGACCGGCAGCCAGTGGAGTTGATGTATCCGAGGGCGGTATGCTCCCTGTATGATGCTCCAGTTGCTGGGATGTATAGTTCACCTACAATCAAAGAGCATTCTGAACCCCACCAACGATGGAATTGGGCCAAACTTCTCACACGGAACCCCCATGACCAACAGAAAATACTGTGTTTTTCTGGTGGTCTTTGGTGACCCCTCTGACACCCCCAGGGGTCCTGCCCCCAGGTTGAGAAACGCTGCTGTACTCTCAAAGGGACGCTCACCCATGCTTTGCCCTCTCAACATGATGAGGTGGTAGGACACAATGGAGCAATGGATGCAAAGGGCAGGGAAAGAGATTTCCACCTAAGTGTGAGGATCAACTCCTTGACAGGTAGAAATGGGGGGTGGACTTCTCTTTCCTGCTCCGCAGCTGGCTCCCCATGGCCTCAGCACAAGAGGCGCCCAATGTGGCCACCACCCCCGGCCACTCCTCCTACTGCTGCCTTGCCAGGCGTCTCCTTGCCCAGCCCAGCCCAGCCCCAATGGGGCCCGAATCCTCTGGCTTCCCTTGCCCCTCACTAGGCCCGTCCTTCCTTTGCTCCTTCTCCCTCTCCAGCTGCACGCATTCCATGCGCCTGCCTGCTCGGGCTGCTGCTGCCATTGGCTGCCTCTGTAGCTGGGGAAAGGGAGCCACGTCTGCTGCCGCCAACACAGCCACCATCGCAAATGTCAAGGGCTCCCTGCGCTGCTGCTGGGCGAGTGCTTCTTCTTCTTGGGCAGGCCGGGCACGCACATGGGCCAGCGCCGTCCGCGCACCTGCCTTCCCTCCCAGCCCCTTCCAGCAACAGCCACATGCAACCAAATGCCAAAACAAAAACAAGGTTCTATAGGTACACTGTGCCAAGGGGATGCAGCAGAAGGATTGCTCCACAAAGAGGGTGAAGACACAACATCATACATTGGGAGCCCACATAGCATTGCTGTGGTTCGGAATGGGCTTTGACCCTCTAAACAAGGGCGTGGTCTTCCTTTCTTCCGTGCGCCTTCTCCCTCGGCAAGCATCATGCCATTCCCAACCGATGGCAACCCTAAAGGGACCCTCTCCCAGGGGTCTCTGAGGCTGAGAGAGTGTTACAACCAATGCAAACAACAGCAAGGAATGCCAGCCCTTGCAAGTGCGATGGTGGTCAAGTTGGGATCAGGGGAAGATGGGTGGAGGGACGCGGCAGAGGAATACAATGTTATCCCAAGCGGTAGGGACACGTTTGTCCATCCGTCCTTCTCTGGCAAGAACAGACAGGTCACCGCAGAGCTGAACTTGTAGCATTGCTCTGCCACAAGCAGAGAGGCCGACGGCTTTTGAAAAAGGGATTTGGCAAAACGGGCCTTTGCCCTCCCAGAGACAGTCCACATGGCTTGGGCTTTGTTCACCACACGCTCCCAAATAGCCCGGCTTGCAATTATCCAAAGCGCCGGTGGCTTTGTGCCATCCATGCTGCCTGAGGCAGAGCCCAATTTGCGTGCAATGCAACCCTCCTATTTTCTTTCCTTGCAGAATGTGTGGCTGGTTGCTCCAAAGGCAGGGCAGCTTCAAGGGAGGTTACGGGGTGGACCGGGCTCTCCAGCCAACGCCAGGCCTCTCATTCGGGGCGGCATTGTCCGCTTTGTTGGTTTCTCGTCCGCAGCCTCATCACTCAGACACCAACAATTTCCTGGGATGTAATGAGAGGCCCACCATAAAAAAGCAGGAGCACCATGATGTAACTCTATCCATTTTTAGCCAGGAGGCAGACCCACATGCAAATGCATTCAGCTCTCACTATTTGAATGGCACTTGGAGCAATTCATAAACATTTTCACATAGCGTTGCAAGGCTTATTGCAACCAAAGAAGGCCTGTCCTCTAGCCATGTGCAAAGTGCCACCATTCTTTCCCTGCCTTCTTCTCCATAGGTGACAAGGCAATCCTGAACATGTTTACTCAGATCTAAGTTCTAGAGCAGGCATGGGCCAACTTGGGCCCTCACTCCAGGTGTTTTGGACTCCAACTCCCACAACGTGGGTATGCAGATGACCCCTTGAATGACTGAAGTGCCCAGTTCCAAGAGCACTAAGGCATAGGGCAACTTGGGCCCTCCCTCCAGGCGTTTTGGACTTGAACACACACAACGTGGGTATGCAGATGATCCCCTTGATTAACTGAAGTGTCCACTTCCAAGAGGACAAAGCCATGGGCCAACTTGGGCCCTCCCTCCAGGTGTTTTGGACTCCAACTCCCACAACGTGGGTATGCAGATGATCCCTTGATTGACYGARGTGTCCAGTTCCAAGAGGACAAAGCCATGGGCCAACTTGGRCCCTCCCTCCAGGTGTTTTGGACTCCAACTCCCACAACRTGGGTATGCAGATGMTCCCTTGATKGACYGARGKGTCCAGTTCCAAGAGGACAAAGSCRTGGGCCAACTWGGGCCCTCCCTCCAGGYGTTTTGGACTCCAACTCCCACAACRTGGGTATGCAGATGMTCCCTTGATKGACYGARGKGKCCAGTTCCAAGAGGACAAAGSCRTGGRCYAACTWGGGCCCTCCCTCCAGGCGTTTTGGACTCCAACTCCCACAAYRTGGGTATGCAGATGATCCCTTGATTGACYGARGTGKCCAGTTCCAAGAGGACAAAGCCATGGGCCAACTTGGGCCCTCCCTCYRGGCGTTTTGGACTCCAACTCCCACAATGTGGGTATGCAGATGATCCCTTGATTGACTGAGGTGTCCAGTTCCAAGAGGACAAAGCCATGGGCCAACTTGGGCCCTCCCTCCAGGTGTTTCGGACTTGAACTCCCACAACATGGGTATGCAGATGATTCCCTTGATTGACTGAAGTGTCCAGTTCCAAGAGGACAAAGCCATGGGCCAACTTGGGCCCTC